GGTTCTATTTCCTAAGCACAGTTAAGCTCCTAAGCCACTGCCAGTTCAAAACTGACTGGAAAGCCTCAACCCTTCCCTGTGGATTTTCAGCAGAGGCTTAAGCTATGCTGGAGAGCTGCTAAGTAACAAAGCCCTGCCTAAAGGTGCTTCTGGCTAAAAGCAAAGCGGCCAGATGTCAGCTRCCAGAGTCCTGAGGCACCTCAGTCAGTTCTGTAGCCAGCAGCGGTTTAGTCACTCGTTGAGACTCGGGAGAGCCTGAACACGGCACTCTGTCCTGAGCAGTGATGGGAAATGAGATCAACACCATGGAGGTTTCCTGTTCCTAAGTATTTGTGAGGCAGTACCTCATAAGCAGCATCTTCTAGACTCCAGCTGTTGTCCCACCTTGGGCTCCCACACCTCACTTGTGAGCCGGGCTTCTCTACCCCACACTTTGGCTTTGCCTCAGGGGAGATGACAGGGAGGAACTGGAGCTGGTTGCACCTCCCTCCTCTCATTACCCAGGGCCTGGCCCCTCAGCAGGGGTCAGAGATGGTGACTTTGCACCACAGCTTCTCCCGCACCGTAAGTCCCAGGAAGGCAAAGGTTTTAGGCTATGAGAGGGCAAACTTCCCCCCAAATCTTCCCCAAGGCTCCACGGTGCTGCTGGACTTAGCTATGGGGTGGTGCTCCGTTCCTCTGGTCTCAGGACTGAGATGGAGTCCAGGCCATTAGCCATCATTCCTRGTAACGTTTCCTGCCTCCCTGACTGTCCCCTTCCTGTACTGGTTCACTTAGCAGCAAGGCTGCTCCAAAACAACCCAAATGACCACCAGGAGTTCCAGATAAGCAGATTCTTGGGAAAAAAAGATAGCCATCACGAAAAGACAACACCAGAGCTGTCTTTCATCAGACAAGATGTTGCTTCCAGATGTCAATAAATGCTGTAAGACCAAGTATCTGTCCACCAGATTACAAGGGAATCATTTTATTTTTTGAAGCACTTACTTTGGGAGTGAGGGCAATCTGACAGCAGAGAATGGTCCAGCAAGGAATGGGCTCTGCCTGAGCACACGTGGAAGTAAAATCTGCCTGGGTCACTCATTACCTCGGGTTTTGATACAGGACATGGCTTATTTAACGTAAACAATCACACCGACATTTCTACATTTTAACATTCAAATGTTGACTGGGTTGCATTTTTTAGGATAAAATAGTATTTTGTTTGGCTGTAGCTAGTTGTTCTGTTTCTGATGATGGTCCTAGGCCCCAGAAGATATCTCCAAGTGCTGAGGCCAGGAATGTGTGCTGATTAACACAGCCCAAACAGAGAATGGCATGGCCTAGCCCTCTTCTGGAGGTAGGAACCTCAGAAACATCCAGGAAGCAGAGATACCTGAGAAAACTCATCCTGTACTTGTGATACTCTGAAAATCCGGCTGCAGTTTAAGTTTCTAAATGTGGTTTAGGGGACACCTAGTTTTGAAAATATGTGGTCTACCTAATCTCAAGACAGAAAACTGCAAGCTATTTGGTGGGCAAACCAATCCTAGATCTTGAAGAAAATAGAAGAAAAATCAGTAAGTGCTCTACTCGTTTGCAGAGGGACTGAACTCAAGGCACAGGTCCTTTCACTCTCTGTGTTCCCACGACTGGCTATCATCACCATTAACCAAACTAARTCCTCAATCTGTACCTTGCAGTAACCCGAGAACACCCGTGAAACCTGCAGAATGATGAAAAAAATGATAAAATACAGGAAGTGTGGCAGGAAGGTTAAAAAATGTAGTTGTGTCATGATCTCCTCCTCTTTCCAGGCACCTCGCTGGTTTCACCACCTTCCTGTGAAGTTCCTATCTGCTTGCCTTGGAATTGCAGAACAATCTCCCYGTTGCAGAACAGTGCAGCACGAAGCACTCCCTGCTGCAAGCTCTGCCTGTGCCCGACCCCCAACACAGGGATGTATTACAAGGATTCATGTGAACGCTGYGTCACGGGTAGCTGAGAGCACAGGAATAGGTGCCCTCCGCTCTGGTTGTATAAATTGCAATAAATAAACCAGAGTGGGAGGGGGATCTCATGGCAATACACAAAGCCTCATGATCTGACCCTGTCTCCTTGTAGGCTGCTGCCCTCCTATGGCATGTTTTGACTGCCCCTTTTACCTTCAAAGCAGCCCTGTGTTAGCGAGGGGAACGGCCTCCAGCAGTRCCTGCTGCTAGAAATCATAGCTTCCAAACACCTGGTTTGCTGGTTCAGGGTCTGTTTGAAGTTGGAAATCAACAGCCAGGGGCACTTGGCCTTCCGGTCCTCCAAAGGAACCCCTGTGGTTTGAAAAGACTGAGCACCATGAAGGAGCAATTGGCATCCCTAGTGCGTGTGTGTGTGTGTGTGACACTGCTGCTGCAGACACCACCTTCCCAAAGGCAGGGCTTGCATCCAGCGCCTCTCACCCTCAGTGACAGCTTTTTGTTGCCTTCGTTTTTCCTTTTTGTTGCCTTTTCTTTGTTGTTGTTTTTTTCCTAAGGTCTGTATCTTGGCAACACAGGAATTGTTGACTTGGTAACCCAGTGCTTTAGATAAGGGGAGGTTTCTTGGAGCTTTTCTGCCGAATCCGGCATCTGTTACCAAGGCAGGAGTRCGGAGCTAAAGCCCAGCACAACTATCGCACATCTGCCTTCCTACTAATGTCCYTGCACTGAGATCCCGGGTTCCTGCCTTCATACCCCATATAGACCTTCCTTCCATCTTCATCCTCAGCTTAGCCATATGAATGAACGTCACAACCTAAAAGAGCAAAGGGTACTGAAAAAACTATGACTCCCCAGACTGGCTCTTACAAAAGGGAGAAAAAAGAGGGGGGAAGGGACCAAGGGCTTTTTGGTCCTTAGGAAGAAAAGGAAGAGGAAGAGGAAGAGGATGGGGAAGGGGAAGGGGAAGAGGAAGGGGAGGAGGAAGAGGAAGAGGAAGATGAGGGAAAGGGAAAGGGAAAGGGAAAGGGAACGGGAAAGGGAAAGGGAAAGGGAAAAGGAAGAGGGAGAGGGAGAGGGAGAAGGAAAGGGAGAAGGAAAGGGAGAGGGAGAGGGAAAAAACAGGACCAAAGAGCCACGTAACAGCCACATTAAAACTACAGCCCTTTTTACCGAGTGCAGACAAACAGCTCATGAATGTCGAATCAAACCTGGCACCCCAAGGGACCTTCAAGATTATATATATTAAAAAAAAAATTATCATCAAGGAGTCTCTTCTGCTCTGATAAGTGCCCCTGACAGACTGGATTTTTACATGCTCAGCTCTAAGAACTGCGCTGTTCCTGTCAGGAGAGAATCAGAGCTCTCTGAAGGGCACGGAGGTGGGTGAGTTCAGACAACCTGCTCTTGCTGGTTATTGCTGAAAACTACAGCTTCTTTTATTCACAGGTACATTATGTTTTATCATGGCTCTCAAATGCAGTAATTCAAATATAACCAGTTACAAAAAGTAGCACAAGCAATATTCTTTTTTCTTTTAAGAAGTTATTTCAGAATTCTGAACTTCTACAGTAAGAGGGATGCCTGAGAGATCCTAAAGTACTAGTAGTACTGGTAATACTAGTAATACTAGTAGTTAAAGCTCAGAAATATTCTGTTTGAAATCTGTATTTTGCTCTGATAGGGAATAAAATGAAGATAAAATTCAGTCAAGACCATTATTCTTCTCTTCTAGAGTAGCCAACTCTGGAGTCGAATCTGGGAGGTGGGGAAAGCCAAGGGCTTAGCTTGGACRGATCATTTAATCCTTTCTTACAATTTCAGTGGAAATTTCATCCTGAAATTATAATGTTTTTTATATGAAGTGAATTATTTCCATTGTGTTCTAAGTCCCTACGTGATTAGTAACAACATGTATGGAATGAATCACAACATGAGGGTTCAAAATGGACAGACTGGGGTGGCTGGTTCAAGGACAGCTCTTCAATGAAAGACTAAAGAGTCTTTCAGGAAGACTAAAGTCCTGATTATCCAGCCGTAGTTGGGAAAAACTCTGTGCTCTGGAGTCACCTTTGCTAAGAAACGTGTTTTGGGATTCAGGCGCTAGTCTTTATACACTGAASCTAGAATGCATTCGACACACATCATTTTCCTGCCTCATTTGTTCACAGAGAAACAATTGCTCTCCTCATAGTATATAATGAGAGGAATTCTGGAATGAGGAAAAGATGGGCAGGGAGACAGATACGGTCTCAACTCTGCTTATTTCCATCTATATATTTCCCTACATCCCCCCTTCAGGTATTTGTACATATTGATCAGATCCCCTCTCAACCTTCTCTTCTCCAGGTTAAACAGGCCCAGCTTGCTTAGTCTTTCCTCATAAGATGTATGTTCCACTCCCTTAATCATCTTTGTCTCTCATGAACATCTTTGGCTCCCTCTTCAATTCAGCCTCTTGAACAGCTACAGAGGTAKCATTTGTAGCCTGAAGCCAACATTGCTGGCAGCACTTACAGCTTCCAAGCACTGAGGAAGGCCTAAATACGGGATAGGAGAGAAATGAAATGGTTACTTTTCTCTTAAATGCTTGCTACCACAGCCATGGAAGCACAGCGGCAAGGCAAGAGCAAGAAGTGCAGGAGCTCACACAAGTATAGGACTTTCTTCTCTTGAAGCAGAAGTTAGTTCTCCCTAGCCCAGTGCAGTCATTAACAGATAGATGACAAAAAGCCTACAGTTGGAAAACATGGGACAGCCAGGCAAGAGAAGGAACGCCCTGAGCCTCACTAGCCCAAGCTGCACCGCCTGCCCCGACATTWTAACGGACAACAAGATGGCGGCGGGGGCGATGGCTGAAGCCGCCGCGAGGCGGGAGCGCGGGCTCCGCTGCCATGGCAACCTCGCCCCGCACCCCGCCGCGCGCATGCGCATTGGGGCGGTCGCCGCGGCCTCTCCGCCCCGCACGGGGGCGCAGCGCCAGCCTCGCCGCCCCGCAGACTACAACGCCCAGCGTGCCCCGCGCGCGCCTGCGCGGTGCGGCGCGGGGCGATGGCGGCGGCCCGGCGCGGAGCCGCGTTCCTCCTCMGGGCGGGCGGCGGCGGCTGCTGCCCCCGGGCGGCCCCGCGCTGGGCCCCGCCGTCCCCGGCTCCCCACAGAGGTGAGAGCCGCGTCGCGCCCGCGAGAAGCGCGAGGAGCAGGAGGAGTGCGGGCGCCGTTACCGCCGCTTGCGGTGGTGAAAGCTATTGGGAAGGGGATGTTTTATTCCTYGGTGAAGCTCTTATTTAGGGGTGTTTTTAATTAAGCGTTTAGAGTAGTCACTGAGTGCACTTGTGTACAAGTCTGCCTCATTTTCCCCGTGTGTCAGTCGCCCAAACCCCCATATAAGCCTTGTTTCCAGGTTGGCCCAGCTGGTCGTGGCTGCCGCCTTGGAGCGGGTCTAGAGGCCTGGTGTTGTAGGTTGTTGGCCTTGGGGTAAAAATCTAGGTAAGAACCATGGTTTAGTTAAGGGAGACTCAGCAGTGAGAGCCGTTTTGGGACAGTGCGTGTGCTGAAACACTAGGGCTTTTTAGATAGCAGAGCTTCTTTCAGAARGTAATCTGGAATATGGAAGCCCTCTCTGCCCCCTCAAAGGTGAGATAAAAAGGAAAATACCCTTTAAATTTAGGGTAAGAGAAGTGATGGCAAGGTTTTCAGGTAATGAACACAGCGGGTTCCTCACTCAGGAGATGTCATGTGTTAAGCACACACTGCATCTTGCTTTATTTGTCCGCTGCCTTCCTGGTGAACCAACAAACTCCCTCTGAACGCGTGTATAATTTCTAAAAGGCTCAGCTGTGTCTTTACACTTGACGCTCCGTCTCGTGAGCGTTGAGGTGCCAAAAGAGTAAAGGGAATGTCATTGTGGGAGCAAGAAATTGCTGATGTGTTAAAGCTGCTGGTGTTTTAAAAGGAGAAGCACGCGCTAAATGTGTTGTGGTGGTTTTTTTTCATATGTTGTAAAATTTAGTCATATTCTTTTTATTTTTGGTGTCAGCTGTGTGTTGCACTGCTCTGTGTTTGTACAGATGGGTTTTGGGTTGATGTACCAATTCTCACAGGTACAAAATTTCCCTGGAAAAGGGGTGGGTGGTTCCTGATGTCTATTATAGCCTGTAAATGGTCGAAAGAACCCAATGTTTTTGTTGCAGCTTTCACACAGCTTTATTTTTCCTTTCATTTAGTGATGAAAGGCATTAGAGTCACTCTGTTTAAATGATGAACAGAGGAAAGAACCTGACAGTTTTAACGCATTTGTTGTCGCTTGCAGGTTTTGCTGCCACAGCTCTTAGAAGATCCTATGACGTGAGGAGAGTTGAAATCACTCCCCTGGAGCAGAGGAAGGTCACGTTCGACACCCATGCCTTAGTGCAGGACCTGGAGGCCCATGGTAAGTGACATCACTTCATGTCTCTCATAGTCTTCTCTTCTTCCCTCATTTTTTTCCACAAAATGAAGTTGCATCTTGTTGATTTTTTTCCTTCTGCAGCTGCATTTCCATGTTTTTGATTATTCTGGTTGCCCTGGCTGAGTCTTTTCCATGTTCTGAAGTTCTAGTATTTCAGAAGGGATCATGGGCATATTTCTCTAGTTTTCCTTGAAATCATCCTCCAACAAAACGTTAATTGATCCCTTTTTAGAAAACAGAGCAATTGAAATACAGCATGTCMATTAGATTTCTAGAAATAAGAACTAAAACCCTCAGCACTAAATCAAAGTCACTAATCTCTGACAGGTGGTTGTTTTATTATTCAACATTTATCATCTTTAAGCATATCAAAATTGCACCAAGCTAAGGACAAAGTGYTAAGTGTTATCAGAAGGCAAAGTTCCCATAGTCTAAATTAATTTCTCAAGCAGTAGATGTAGCAGTTTTAAAATCAGGAGTTTTGATGTGATGTATTTCCACAGAACAACTTCAATATATGTGGACTTATTTTTTGGTTTTATTATTTCATGGTATGCGTGGTAGCAAAAGGTAAATGTAACTTTACTAGAACTTAAAGTTTATCGTAAAGTAACATTTTGCTGGATTATTTTTATGCTATATGATCAGTTAAACATTGTACCAAAGTTTTGTTCTCTCAGCCATACTATAAATTTTTTTAGTTTATTAAAATTATTAATCAATGTTTTCAGATTTACTCAGCAGTTCTAGTTAGAAGTTCTACTTAGAAGTCACAAAAGTGACTCTTCCCTGTAGCTTTTCAGTCCTGTGTGTTGCAGCAGCTGAGTTAAGCAGTTGTGGGTCTTGGTTTATTACGTAGCTCTTGCTCTTCATCCCACTTTCTAGTGTCATCTCAACTCGTCACCTTTCAACTGTCTTTCAGGCTTTGGGAAAGGACAAGCGGAGACCATTGTGTCAGCACTAATAACTCTCTCAAACGTCAGCTTAGACACCGTCTACAAGGATATGGTGACCCAGGCTCAGCAGGTGACAAGTCATACATGGTTATCTAAAAATAATGATGCGTTTTGCATAGTTGAGACAGGGGAGCAACTTGCTGCAGTAAACGCTTCACTGAGAGATTTTCCTGGGTTTTCAGCTGCTGTTAAGCTGTAAAAGGGTAGCAGTGTCTTACACAGAGCAGCCTCTCCTGAAGTGCTTTCCCAGTGCAGTCACAGTATGAAAGTGTCGTGCAGAGGTTGCTTCGTTTGCTACTGGGAAACTATGAGGTGAAACAAAAAAATTAACAGTCCTTCACAACAGTTGAGGGTAGAAAATGTGAAGACATTCGTGAGAGATAACAAAACTCCACATAAAACAGTAGGAAGTTGTCTGGGTTCTGTTTTGTTTTTTACAATAGTAAAGATGGGAGTTTTGCTCCTACATGAGTATTATTTGTTGTGCTTCATTATTTTCTAATTCATAAACAGTTAGTGCAGCCTCTGGTTGGGAGCTGTCCAAGACAGAGTGGACGGAGCCTCCCTGCTTGAGGAGGAGATTTGAGCAGTCAGGCAGTGTCACCTGCCCTCAGGGACAGCCAGGGAGGGAGCCCTCACTTGTCTGTATCGGCCTGGCCATTGGCAGCGCTCAGTTCAGCACCTCCCAAGCCAAGTTCCAGCTCGTCCTTTGCTTTGGAGTCAAACGACTGAATGTGTTTGGAGGCAGTCAGCTGGGAGGGTGGCATGGTCTTTTTTTTTCTTTTTTTTGCTGGTAATGACAAGGATTTATCTTTAAAAAAAGCCAAAATAAAGCTCATATGCACAGTAATAGGTAGTTAGGAAGGTTCTACAAATGAAATAATGACCTCCTTGCAATTAAACATTTATTGCTACTTGAAAACTTCTGAGTCTTGATTACAGGAGGTTTGTATCTCACTGACATTTATTGGCGGTTGAAGTTATCTAACATTTCTTTAAACATGTCTCCAAAATGAAGAAGCAAAAACCTTGTGTGTTTCTCTTGTTTGGGTTTTTTAAGTCAGAGTGGAAACATTTCTTTTGGGAGATTCTATTGCACTTAAGTCAGTATCCCAAAAGTAATTAGCATGGAATTTTCTTGGACAGAAGCACTGGTTGTTGTTATGGTACCAGTGGCGAGGCTGCCTGTTTGAAAATGGGATGAGAAAATCGCATCCTAAATGTAAATGCAGCTGAAGCTTTAACTGGTGTTATTAAAAGCTGCAACTTAATTATGTTAAACAGAGTAAAGTCAGAGTTCAGGGGAAGCCGCAGGAACTGAGAAATACTGTGTCCTGAATGAGAGCATCTCGTTTCACTGGCTTGGAGCTTTAAAGGCCACAGAACTGACATCGTTCATGTTAAACAGCAGGGTAACTTCCTTATTCTAGGCTTAGGAATATTGCTTTCCTGAGTCTTCCAGACAAATCCCAGCTATAACCTTCTGTGATTTGGCCACTCTGCTGTTTCTTGGGTTTTTTGGGGGGAGGGAAAGGGGGAGGGTTCAGACCTGAAAACCTCTGCTTTCCTTGGCTTTGCCAGAAAGTGTGGGACTTAATCATTCTGACCTACTTGTTGTTCCAAAGGAAATAACTGTACAGCAGATAATGGCACATTTGGACTCTATTCGGAAAGACATGGTCATCCTGGAGAAAAGTGAATTTGCCAACCTGAGAGCGGAGAATGAGGTATTTGCGAGTGTTTTAAATTAAACAGTTAAATTGTAATGTATGTTGGGCTTATATACTTATAATTCTTATATAGAAGAATTGTATATATATATATATATATATCTTATATATAATAAGGTATATCTTCTATATAATTCCTATATAGAAGTAATCATGGATGCTTTATCAGAGTTGAAAAATTTGTACATGATGGCTTTTGTAATCACATAAAATTTATTTCAATTGGCAAGACTTGCATAGTTCTGGAAAGAAAAAAAGTTTGCATCTTAGAATAATCTTTTTGTATTTAGGGGTGGTTCTAGTAGAGATTTATCATAAACTACATAGTATAGGGAGAGTAATCAGCCATTTTTATGCAACAACTTAGGTGTATTTTGGTTGTCTTGACAGCTTTTTGGTATTTGTTTTTTTGCTATACTTCTTCCCAATGTAACAAGTTTATTATTGTATATCACAGCAAAAGAAAACCTTAATTTCCAGTTAGGTTGTGTCCAGTAAGTTGTACCTGGCTATATAGGTTGAACACACCAGTTACGTAGCTGAGAACAAATTGCCCCTCTAGGAGAAAACTCATGGGAGAATAATTACAATGAATGCACTGGTAACCATGTCGTAGCAATACCTAATTTTCTGAATAACAAAATATTTTCTTTTCTCCCTTACACATAGAAAATGAAAATTGAATTAGATCAAGTTAAACAACAACTAATGGTAAGTAAACAGCAAATATGTATGCACTCACATTGGGGGAAGTAAGCAGTTATTTTCATAATCTTTATTTCTTTTGAAGAATGAAACAGGTAAAATCCGAGCTGACAGCAAGCTGGATATAAACCTGGAAAGAAGCCGAGTGACGGATATGGTGAGTGGGGCTTTGGGGATGCCCTTATCAGTTCTGTTGCTTGTTCTCCCTTACCACAGTTACTTGTCTTTCATGTCCAGTTTACAGATCAAGAGAAGAAGCTCATGGAAGCAACTACAGAGTTTCATAAGAAAGTGAGTATTAAACAGAGCCCGTTTCATAATGTGGAACTGTTCTTGTTTTACATCATGTAAACTCAGAACTATGGGGAAAGCCCCAGGATTTCTCTGTGGTGCCACTCACAGAAGGTGGGTTTGTGGTCTAGGTCTATGGGGTTTGTGCTGAACATCCCCTGGGTGGAAGAGGTCAGGCAAGGCACATTTCCTCACAAGTTTTAACCATTCAACTCATGAGTGTGTTAGTGCTCAAGCTACTGTATGTGGGCTGTGTGTGTCCTGCTGCCCTTGCCAGTGGTAAAGGCCAAACCTGGGGCAGGTTTAGCTGCCTGCAACCAAGGAACAGTCTGGGGGCCTTCAAGTCCTCGGAGCAGCGCTAAAGTCCAAGAGGGTGGGTGGATACATCTCATCTGTCCCCCCTTTCTTCTCTGAATGTGGCTCGTGCATGATAAATCAGCAGAAATTTAGCCATTTATCTATACATTAGAGAATGGGCCCTTTAGGTTGCCTGGGCCATTAGAGGAAAAATCTGCTGTATGTAGATTTTCTCCCTTCCTCTTTAATACCCATCTTAGATTATATTAAGTGCTATGTGGTGTCTTCTGAGGTCTCTTAGCAGTTACATATTTTACTAAAGTGACAGGTTGGAAATACGGTTTAAAGTTTTCTTTCACATTCCTGATAGCATTTCTGTTTGCTTTTGCAGCACTGAAGGGGCTAGAGATCACCGTCAAATTTATGTTATCTCTTAATGTTTCAGGATTCAAGTACCAACAGTGTTATCTCAGAAATCAGTAACAAAATTGACACTGAAATAGCTTCCTTAAAGACACTTATGGAATCTAATAAACTGGATACAATMCGTTACTTGGCAGGTATGTGATGCACAAGGAGGTGCAGTGTTTTGGAAATATGAAGTATGCTTTTAAAGCCTGGGGACACACAATTCTAAAACAAAACTGGTCGTGTTCTCTCATGTCACTTTGTGTTTCTATTTGTTGCAAACAAGGGGCTGATGCAAACGGAATCCAAGGAATCGGCCGTGCCGCAGCAAATAACAGGGACTGGGGGGATATTCCCCCTGTAAAACAGGAGTGACCCGGGACATGGAGGAAGTGCGTGAAAGCACTGCAGTTGGATTAGGATTGTGCCCAGAATTGGGATCAGGAGGAACAGAGTTGTTCCAGAAGTTTGCCTGAGGCCATTTAAGTTATCCCTAAAGTTTCCCGATGCCCAGAACTAGTCTGGAAGCGGGGCAGGGTATCTCTCTGTTCCCACGAGCCTGTGTAAGCAGCTCTCAGTTCCTGAAAGGCTTGTGATTTCTGTTTTATGRAATATGGAAATAGGAGAACTTCTTATTTTGCCATTGCTGTATTTTCCTGCCACACTGAGCCCTGCTCCCATTCAGCCTTTCAAAGCAGCAAATGTGTTCAGCGTGGCAGCATTTATACTTGTCTCTGCCAAGCAGAACAAATCCAGGTCTGATTTGAGATTGACTTCTCAGCATATACAGAGCTAGGGAAATTTATCTTACATTAGAGCTGAGTAAAGGATGACATTTGGAAGTGAGGCAAGTCCAAAGTCAAACCTATTGAGCTTTATTTTAACATTAACTGAAATAACAGCTTATCAGCTACTGTCAGACAACTGATCAGGTTTTAGAGGCTTAACGACTTAAYAGTTACCTCTTTTGTTTTAACAGCTTCGGTATTCACTTGCCTAGCAATAGCACTGGGATTCTACAGGTTCTGGAAGTAGATCTAAATGGAATGACTGCATCAAWCGTAGATGGAGAAAAGGCCACCATGCAGCATCTGCTGGACTGCCATGGTTGAGCTGTAGGTCATCTTGGTACCCATCAAACAGGGTTTGATGTTCTTGCTGTGCACTGAGGATGTTTCCTGAATGGGTAACACTAAAGATCAAAATAACTGGGGACAGGGGCAAGGAGAGCAGGTAAATGCATGGTAGTAATTCTTTGTTCCTTATTCAGTCATTTATTTCAAAAGGCTTTCTGCTTAAATCAGAAAGTGTTTCCAAATAAGTTTCAGAATGAAGTTTGTTCTGTCTTGGAGAACATTCTTTATGCTCTCAGATATCCTCAGAATGGAAATACTCAACAGTTGATATCCCATGAAAATATGGAATTAGTAATGCCAAATTCCAACAGRTTGACTGTGATCCAAACTGAGTATTCTAGTCTTACATAAATCTAAAATCTGGAAATTTCCTCAATCCATTACTCTTTTCTGATAAAGTATGGCTTCTTGGTAATATTTATAAACACGTTCCCAGGCTTTTCCTGAGAAGCCTCTTTTTCTTGAATAGTGTTTTACACAGATTTAAACTCTCATTTAAAACTAAGATGTCTCCATACATTTTTTTAATACCTTTGACCCACACCTACAGAGGCCAACAGATACTGTCTGCTGCCCTTCCTAAAGGGGCTAGTCTTAGCTTCGAGCCTTGGGCAGATAAATGTTCCTAACAGTCTCCTGTAGAAGTAAAGGGGCCACAGCAGCTTCTGAGCTACCGCGTGGTGATGATCCCTCTGCCTCCTGCAAGACTCTGATGGCCCAGGCAGAACCTGACGGGTGGCACCTTCCACCCTGAAGCAGTCACGCTTTGCCAAGTGCCCAGCCTTAGTTCGTGTCTCGTGGTAAATTAAAGGTCTCCCTGGATTCAATTTTACTTTAGGAATAGACTCAGTGGGCTACAGAGCATAAAATTTGGGATTATGACCATTTTTTTCTATTGCGGTTCTGTTTTCTTTATAGTTGAATTTGCTGGTATGCTGCAAATTCTTGTGTTTTGTGCTCAAGATTATGTATTTGAACATTTTCATTTAAGAAAATAAAATGTTGTTGTTACATTTGCTGTCTGAAAGATTTGAATTYATATCAACAACTTGCAAAAATGAGATTTTCGCAATAGACAGAGAGCTTCTCTGTTGAGAGTTGAGCCTTCTATGGGCAGTCACCTAGTAATTGCCATGTACCAAACTGCCCATTCTGATTCTACCATCAGGAATCAATTTAACTTGTATTAAAGTCTTATATCATTATAATATATATCAGTATTTATTATTGAAATGAAAATTGTCGCAGCATTGTGTGCAGGTCTGTGCTCCCCAGTATAAGGGATGTGGAACTTCTAAGAGAGGGTCCAGCAGAGTTAGACAAAGATGATTAAGGGACTGGAGCATCTCTCGTATGAGGAGAGACTGAGTGAATTGGGCCTGTTTTCTCTGGAGAAGAGAAGGCTGAGAGGGGATCTGATTAATAAGTATAAGTACTTGAAGGGGGAATGTAGGGAGGAAGGGGCCAAGCTCTTCTCAGTGGTGGCCAGTGACAGGACAAGGGGTAATGGATATAAGTTGAAACACAGGAAGTTCAATCTGCTTGTGAGGAAGAACAACTTTACTGTGATGGTGACAGAGCCCTGGAASAGGCTGCCCAGGGAGGTTGTGGAGTCTCCTTCCAGGGAGGTCTTCTAAACCCGCCTGGCTGCCRCCCTGTGCCCCGTGCTSTGGGTGTCCCTGCTKGAGCAGGAAGGTTGGACTAGATGATGCCTAGAGGTCCCTTCCAACCTCAACCATTCTGTGGTTCTGTGATTATGCGTGATGAAGGTTCCAGGACTTTCACAACAGCATACAGACAGGAGAAAAATTCTTTATTATGTGTAAAATAGTGAAAAGAGTTTGGGGACATGGAGATCAGACTTGCTTGTTTCTAATGTGAACATGCCCCAAAACTTAGGGAAACCTTTAGCCCCAAGTTAGATGCGGAGATCCCAGCAGGACCCTTTGTGTGGTGCTTTGGGAGGCAATTCCTTCAGAATGACTCCATGAGAAGCAAAGGACTTAGCAGAAGTCTGCAGTCAAGCAAATGCCCTTCACTAGATCCTTAGTGTGAAGCCAAGGTTCACTGTCTGTCTCCTATATTTTAAGAAGAAAGGTGCTGCTTTTAAAGACAAAATACAGATTAGCTTCATGGATGAGGATGCTCTTCTCACACCTAGAGGGCTCTATGACACTTCTGCAGTTACTTTTTCAATTGAYGTTTAGAATTTGGAAAGCTGCTGCCAAACAACTACTGGGATAGGAAAATAAGTTATAGTTTTAAAAAAAAAATGCTTCTGTGATATAAAAACATTTTCTATTGCATAGAACTAGGGAAACTGTTTACAAAACTCACGTGCAGCCCAGCTTGGCTGGTTTGGACACGACTGCATCCCTGCACTGACGTCTTTCTCCGAAGCCTGCCCTGTTGCAAGGTTGGTTCCTCAGCATCGCTTCACAAACACCCCTCCAGGGCTGCATGTTGGCTTCTTCTTTATTTTCTTTTTCTCTTTGCAAGAATCAGCTGTCGCCTCAGTTTCCTGAAACAAAGGACATCACAACCATTAAATGGTGATTGCTTRCATAGGCCACCCAGTGAGGCAGGATTTTGAGCAGACAGATGCACTTGAATAGCCAGAAAATACTGTGGTCAAAACAAATGCACCAGCAGCCCAGTCCAGGCTTCATTCTAACAGAATGAGCTACTGCACCTGCAGTTTGTCAGACAGGGCAGTCAAAGATGTGTTTTGGACACGCTCTTTTCTTCTTTCCCTGTTGGCAACCTYCTTGCCTGTGCCTTAGCCACGAGCCTTGTGCTTTCTGGGCTGTTTCTACACAACCCATTTTTCTGCTTTTCTGTTCCTGTTTTTTCTAAGTAGTTTTGATTTTTTTGTTCCTGTTTTTTGTAAGTTGTTTTTGTAAGCGCAGAGAAAGGAGCTTGTATTTCCTGTGAACTTTCACACTCCGTGGGACAGCTGAGAGGAAGCAGCAGCACAGCCACTGCCTTTCCCACTCACAGAACGTTAGGCTGCTGTTCAGCTGCTAAGGGCTGCTGACAAAATCAAAGCTAGAAACACAAAGTGTTCGGCTTGAGGACACATTTAGGTTCAAACACAACGCAGAGCAGAGCTTAGTCCCCTGTGCTCAGCATGGCAGTCCCAGCAGGTGACGTTTTGAAGGGCCCTTGTTCAGCAGTTGATCAGAGCAGTAGTTTGGAAAAACAAACCTGCCAGCTAGGGATGCTGCGACAGTCAAGGAAAYGGCCAAATGTGCTTTTTCAGACCGCTGCTGGTAGCAAACCAATTCCAGGCAGGGTTTTATCCTAGAAATGAGGCACTATTTGCCAAAGTGATCTCAGATGGCCAGGTGAGCAGAACAGATAACGTTTTCAGGTGGTCTGTGGCTACAGAAAGTGACCTTTGCAGAGGGGGGCAGTCTGCAAGGGAGGGCAGAAGGAGGAGTAAGGGAGTGGGGAAGGTGGACGAAGGGGGAGGAAAGGAGCTGTGCAGGGTGGTTAGGCCGAGTATGGGGCAGTGCTGCCAGGTGTCAGAAAGCTGCAGTGCTGCCCTGCTTGCTCCGTGCCTCACGGGGCCCTCCCCAAGGCAAAGCCTGCATCCTTACGAAAGGCCCTTGATAATTTGTCTTACAAAYGTCTCAGAGTCTTTAAACCCACTTCAATCTCAGCACATGGTCACTAGGGCAAATTGGAAGGGTGAGAGCTGCAAGGCACCCACCTGAGGGACTCGCTGTGGCYAAGAGGCCTCACGGACCCTATTGAAATACTCAAAACAAAACTGCAAACCAGGGAAGGTGGACACAGACGAGGAATTTGGTAGCTTCGAGTTCCAGCACCCCAACCAGGCAGGTGAGGGACACCCCGCAGGCCTCCCTGCTTTGGGCTGCTGCTGTTGGGTGCACATACAGCTGCATCCTGTCCTGCTGGGACCAGGAGATGGCAGCACACAGACTTAAATAGATGGGAATTATTCCTTGTGCAAAGCTGGGGAGCCGAGTTCAGGCCCCAGCTGCCTAGGGCTGCGAGCTCCTTTGCTCTACAGGGGCCTCGGTGGCCCCAGCCGAGATGGTAACAGAACTGGGATCTTAGACACTGATCCCCCGCTCAAAGCAGCCCCCGAGGTTCCTTTCCCAGGGCAGCGGGGCCACTCCAAGTACCTGGAGCTCATTCGGAGCTGGCGGGAGAAGGTGGCAATACTGACCCTTTTAACCAGCAAGCCTATTTCTGCTCCARGGAATACGGCAATGTTTCATGGGAAGCTCAGGCCACATTTCCCGCTTGCTGCTTGCCAACCCTTTCACTAAGGCTATGAAGCAGTTTTTGCTCCTTCTTGGCCTCCGCACTGGGTATTAAGTGAATAGTTAAGGGCAGCAATCCCAGTGCCCAGCTACGCAGCRGGAGGGAGCAAGGCCTTGTCCCAGCAAAACGGGCACCATGCTGGCCCTGGCAGCCCCAGCCTGAGGCTCCCAGGCCTCATCTGTGCACCTCGTTTGGGCTTCCTAATTAAGACAGCGGGGGTGACACTGGCCATTACACGCAGCAGTCCAGCAGCACCCAGCACTCCGCAGGGGTCTCCTTCACGGCACTCACCGGCGCGGACGCAGGCGGGATGCGGGATTTCTCCAGGCTCTTCCTGAGGAGGCTGAGCTCGGCACGGGAGTCGTCTAGCTGGCTCTCCAGCTTCTCCCGCCGGATGCGCTCGTATTCCAGCTGCGCCTCCAGCTCCTTCACGGCCCTGACAAAAGTAAAGTGGCTGGGCAGGGCCTCAGCCAGTCCTGCCCTGGCTGCTCCAGGCAGTCCTGCAATCCATGCAATCTGTTCCATGCAAGGAGCAGCTTGGTCATGGTGCTCACACCAACGGCCCACRCATGGACGGGTTGGAAAGGCCACTTCCCACCTCGCTGCCCCTCTTCGCTCTTTACTGGGCTCACTATTTAGCAGATCTCTCTATGAGAAGACCCTAGGAGAGAGGTGCCCCCTCCCACACAAGGTGCAAAATCTCAATAGGGAAGTGCTGAGCAACCCGGGACACCAACACGCGAATCCTGCTYGGCCCTTCTGCTGGGTGGAGTTGCTCCTTGCTTCTCTGTGAGCCAAGGTGAGATACGCAGGACCCTTCCCTCGGCTGCTGCATCCTCCCGGCCACAGAGCCCTTGCACGAGCAGTTCTAACGCTCCGCAGTACCCGGCGCAAACCAGGAGATGGAGACATCCTCCCACAAACGGGTCTCGGGACGGCCACAAGCTGCATCCTGCCCTAGCTGCGAAAGCCAAAAGTTTGACATGAAACAGAGAAACAGTCCCAAACCCGGGATTCTGGAAGAGCAGGGGCTCTCATCTTTCCAAAATCCTTCAGCAACGGGCTTAGCCACAGCTGAGGAGTGCTCAGCTGGTGCTCTGCATAACACTTGCTGGGGGGAGGCTGCAGCTTTTGATATGTGGTTGCCCAAGCTCTCATCAGTCCCACAGTGGCCACTAACTCCTGGAACTGCTCACAGAGGCATCATTCAGATATTCATATTACAGTCAGCAAATGACCTCAGAAACTCRGTCTGGGGAAAGGAAATGTTGGAAATCGCAGAGCCCTCAGCAAGAGGGCCCAGTGTGCTGGCCTGACCACAGAGCCCCAAGCTCCCCGGCTCCTGACACTGCAAGTGCTCTGTGCCCGGGAGGGAAAGCAGTGCAGGGGGGCTGACCCACACACCCCTGGCATTAACAGGACACATCTCCAGCGTACGTGGCAGTCCAGAGGGAACTTTTCCATGTGAGGCAGCCAGGTCACTGCACTGGACAGCATTTCCTACCTCTTAAAGCCTAAAAAATCCTGCACTGAAGGAGCAATATTCAAAATCCCCCACAGTGACATTCCCAGGTGACAACTCCTRCTTTCCTTCCAATAGGATGCTATTGTCATCCAGCAATGCAAAATGAACATAATTAGCTATAATTATCTATAGTGTGTAGCCAAATCTTTGAGAAGTAGCAGTGGAGACAGGGCTGTCTTTTGGAAGATACTTTATCATTTAAGACCCAAGTATCTGATAGACAGGGGAGCATTTCTCTTAGATGATCTGCCCATCCACTGACTTGACCATCTTGCAGCATCCTTTGATTTAATGGAGTTGCCGAGACACCGTGCAAAGTGCTCCCTGCAAGGGCAGCTTTGCTGATCTTTTTGGTTCGGTTCGGTTTGGTTTTGTAGTGTGGACATGATCTAATGCATTCTTCAGCACAGAAATGCATTGCTCTTGAAATGGAGCWGGTCGTGGAAGAATTTCTGTTTTACATGCACTTACACCCAAGCCTGTTAAGATTAGGGCCTTTTTATTTTTTCAGATTTCCTGCTGTGTGCCCATGTATTGGGCATATTGCAATGAACACAGCCAGGATGTATCAGACCTCCTGCACCTATGCAGCAGGAAAACTTGAGGGAATAGCAGGTAATCCCACACAAGCACAGGAAGTGGGGACCCACTAGACATACATCAGTGTCATGGGGAGTGGAAGTCTAGACACGGCCAGACAAATGGCTCAAGTCCTTTCTTTTTGGTCTGGCTACAATAGGTAAGTGGAAAAATTGCCCAGTCTGAGCATGAGGTAACCTTAACTAAGGCTCTCAAATTGGCCTTACAGAGTGAAATACCACAGGGACAAGTTAACCTTACTTCTCCATTTCCCTTTCTTCTTTTTTCGTCCTCCTCTCCTCCTCAGTGATTCCTCCCAGCTGTCTGTAGTTGCTGTAGGCAATTTCCAGAAGCTGCTGCAGTTCCTGAATCTTGCGATAGGCCCTTACTGCAAGACAGAGTTCTCCAGGTAGGGAACATGCCACACAGTGACGACACCCATGCTGGAATCTACTAGTCTAGAAAAGAGTCTCTCAAACAGAAAGCAGCGATTGCTCTGCTCAGCACACCCAGAGAGTTCTCAAAAACCACATGCAATCTAATGCTGCTTCATCAATGCAGATTTAACCAGTATCAAGCTCTGATTATCTTTTGCTAATTTTCCAAACCACGTTTGAATGCGCAATGGCACAGAGACTCTGTCAACTAAGTTGTCTTATAACTTAGTTCTARCTTCTTTTATAAAGAAGTCTTCAGTAGCTGGCAGAAAGTGAAACCAGGCATATAGTATTTTGAGGCTCCCTTTTCCCAATAAAAAGTGATGACAAAAACCTGCTTACTGCGTGCATTCCTTTTCTCTGCTTTATCCAGGGTTAAATCTTCCTTGCTATCGGTGCTCCCTTCCACACCATGTCTCTCAAAAAACTTGATGTTGTTTGCATCCAGCTCCTCGTCATCGGAGTTGCTGTCTCCAGTTCTTTGTGTCAAAAGCTCCACAGCTGCCAGCTGGGCAAATCTGCACAGAGGACAGTTAATCTACACGGAAATATTTCTATCACGGGAAAAAAATGTACCATGCTGCATGCATTGGATAGAAACTCTCTGAAACTCTTCATGATCCCATTTACCTCAGATGATGTTTCGGGATTTACGGAAGCATTGGTGCACAAACTATGAGCAGCTGAACTGCTTTTGATAGTATTTTGATGGCAGTTTCAGCCACAGCAAAATCTTATGGCAATGACTTCCACAATGAAGATATATTGTCCTTTGCAGGAATTTTTAATTGAATCTCATGAGCAACTGCATTAGTTTTACTAATAAATAGGAAAAAAAGATGCCCTTATTTAGTTCTCATTTTGCACAGACGGAGCATATTGGCTATTAATTCTCCTTTTCCAAACCAATTCGTTTTCATGTTTCTTGCCTGACCTTACTCAAAAAAGAAAATCTATTAAGTTGAAATTACAACTTTTTACAGCTMCAGGATAGCTGTTTCCTGTTCAGAGCTGGGATTCCCAGGCCTGATCTGTTYTTACTCCATCACTGAAAAACAGGAGTAATTTCAATGATACTGGTACATAAAGAGTAAGCAAATAAATGACAGGCACAGGACAGACACTGCTACCTCTTGGCTACATCTTTTGGAGTCTCTCCAGCTTCGTTTGTAATGTCACAGTCGGCTCCCATCTCGATCAACCACTGTAAGCAGTGGATATGTCCTTGTCCAGCGGCTGATGGAAGGAACGTGCACAAGTCAGATGTCAACAGTTGATGTGTTTCTAACCCAAGATGTTCCCCTCTTGGCGTGGTTTGACACCCCAGTGTCTGTGTTCACTAAACCCTAARGGGGAAATACTATTTCAAGAGGATCTCAGGGATCAAGTCACATGCAGTTCTGAGGAAGATCATGCAATGTCACTTTGTGCCTCCTTGTAGCTCCAGAAAATTAGCAGCAATTCTTCCCAGCCAGGAGTTGAACTGCCCAGCCTCATGCTCCACATGTGGGCCACACAAATACCTGCTGCCTCACACTCTTGCAGTTAGGCCTTGCATGCTGCTTATTTGCMGCACTCTGCACTTGCTCCATGGCCTCCTCCAGCCCCGGGCTCCCATACACCAGGCATGACTGTTTGTGAGACCTCTGACATGCTCTGATGTCTCGTGGAATGGGAGAAAAGCCAGAGCTTTGGGCTGGCACGTTGCTTCAGGAGCTACACCCAGAGGCAACACCTCTCACTTCACAGTCTGACACAAGTGGATGTGTCTGGCCTGGCTACTTCCCCCACACCATGGTCCCAGGAATGACATTTCATATATAGGAGGATGGCGCTTAGCCTGCAGGCTGAAACCTGAAAGCTCTTTCTCTCCAGGAAAATTAAGCCTCTCTATGCCAGCACCTCCTTTGGGTGTGTGTCCTGTCCTACTGAAACAAGGAAATGTATCAATCACGGGTTACATTTTTTCCCTATAACATTCATATTCTCCCAACAATTCTGTTTTGAAAAATTCTACCACTTATATTTAGCCAAACAGAGGTGTGGAGAGACTGAGAAAAAAGAAATAATAAATACATATTACAATGATATTGGTCTCTTTTTTCCTCTTTCGTCTCTTTTTTCAGACATTACAAAATAAACCCTAAAACACAGCAGGACCTTCTTTTTTTTTTTTTTTTTTTTTTTTTTTTTTTTTTTTTTTTTTTTGTAATGCTAGCACTGCCCTGCAAATAAATGTGCTAGATACCAGGGGCTTCTCTTCCTTCACAGCATGCTGTGAAGTTGAATGACTTCGCTGTGTTTTTTAGGAAACACCTCCACAGAACAGAGATGTTCAATAAATAAAGGCCCAATACAGGCCACAATACAGACCATCGTAWCTACATAAATCAACATTTCTAAAAGTTGCATTTCACCTGATAAAAAAAAATATATATTTCCATTTGCAGATTAGATGTTTCAATATAAATTCTTCCTCCTTGACTTTTCAACTTGGTTAGTTTGTTTTTAAAGTAAGAGAGACCTACGCACACACAGACCACAAATATGTGTCGCCCTTTGAAGCGCTCAGGAAATGAGATGCTTTTTTTCATGAAATTTATCTGATAAGCAGGTGCTAGAAAAAGTAAGCAAGCAACATCAGAAACCAACAGTAACAAGCTGGAACACAGATCACGATTACTGACCTTTGTGCAGGAGAGTGGCTCCCGTATCATCCCGCTCGTTAATATTGATTATTCCACTTTTCACTAATTTTCTAAGTGTTATCAGGTCCCCTTTGAAAGCAGCTGCATGGGCTGGGAAAGCTAAAACTGAAAATGAAAAGCGTGTTTCCAAGCAGATGCCTCCGGTTTTAATAAATATCATATTCATTGTGCTTGCATATGATGTGTATATATCTCATCATGCACAGTCTGCCTCTCTCACCTTAACATCTGCAGGGAAATTTCAGAGCTGCAGTTAGCAGGGCTAATGCTCCCTTAATCAGTTAAAATGCAGCTGCAGTACCTGCACTGCTCATCACAGGCTGGACTAAATATGTCTTAGTTATGGCTACAAGTATCTTAGGCAACTAAGGGACTAATTTCATAAATCTGGAATAACAAAGACATCTTTGTTTGAAGGTGGTTGTTCTATTACTGTCAGCAACTAGAGTCACCTGCCTGTTAAGAATTATAAGCTCTCACCAAATATATACATTATTTTGCTCCTTGCTTAAAACATTATCCACACAGGCTTAACAAATAATCCTTATTTTGGTGCAATTTGTCCAGAATAAGTTGCTGCTCTATTTAAGTAAAGGATTCTGAACGGRCAACTCTGCACACTCATGAATTAGACAGTTCTGCAGGTTCCCTAGCAAAATCTAAGAAGGACAACATGGATAACTTGGGATTCAGAGTGTAAAATAGAGTGACAACTTTTATTTCAGTTAAAAGTAAATCTAAAACATTTATGAAATCACACTGGGCATCCCAGTCTTTAGCTATGACTAAGCGTATTAAGCACTGAAAGAAACACCTGTTAGTTCATTGCTTATTTAAAGGTTATATATATATATATATATATATATAGGTATATATATATACACTCAAACATGTTTCCAGCATTAAATATTTCTGTAGTATTCATTACATTGCAATCCATACTCACCTTCCTGTGTCTCAGGATGCTCCCCTTGTTTTTCCATACCATCAATATATTGCAAAATATTGTCTTTATAGAACCGTTCAGCCAAGTCCCTTGGAGTCTCTCCGTGGTCATTCCTGGCTTTCAGAGTGCACTTGACATTGCTCATTTTGCTGGCCAAGAACTTAAAGCAGAGCAGGTGCCCCTCCATGGCTGCCAGATGAGCTGCAGCACAAGGTAAGACACAGTATGTCACAACAGAGCCCTGTTCTCCACCAGGAAAACCCTGCTCTCTGATCAGATTAGCTCCTCTGCCAGCACTTTATTTTGGAATATGTTGTAATCTCTAGCCCAAGTCTCAAATCTCAAGTAGAAGTTGCCCCCAAAATGTTGATTAATTATGTATTGTCACTCTGAAGAAATGTCCTGTATAATTTGTACCCAGACAAGCAGCATTAGACCTGACACTTAAGTTAAATTAGAGCACATACAAGCTCTCTGCTGCAAACCATCCACACCTCCTCTGCCTGACTGCTCTTAAAGATGGTCCTGGTTTATGGCAAGATAATGATATTTAGGTAGAGATGATTGCTAAAATGTAATGCAGCAAAATCTGAGCTCTGCTGAGTTTGGGGTTGCTGTCCCATTGGTTTTCATTCTCACCATTCATTTGGTGAGTTACAGTAACGCTGGAAAAAGTGAAAAGAAGTAGCATCTTCTTAAGGTTAAGTGCTAATCATTACAATCAGTTAGTAATTAACCAGTTTTGCTGGTGCAAAACGGACTCAATATTTACAAATCTTTTCCAGATTCCCCCAATCTCAAGGACAGAAAATAACCTTTTGTGATTAAACTTTTTAACCAGACACCTGCTTTGTGCAGAACAGCAGTCAAAGAACCTCAGATTTTGCTGTAGAAATGATAAGGGAAAATATATTCAGGAGTTGTATTCAGTCCGTATCTTATTGGAGAGTTTCAATAGGATGCTGAAGAAGTCACATAAAGGAACTTTACAAAGGGGATTTTTAATCTGTATGTCTCTTAGTAGCTTGTGCCCAACAGGATTCTGTGCTTCTATGGTTCTACTTTTTTGTGCTAATAAAGTGGTTGAGCACATGGCTGTAAAAGGAAGACAAATGACACAGAAATGTCAGTATGTCAGAAATCAGGGTGAGATTCCAGGTAAAGGAGAACAAAGGTTTCACCAAAGCAGGTGAGAAGCAGCAGAGCACAAAAACCTGCCCAAGAACAAGCCAGAATTTGACCACACACATCCATCATACTCCAGCAGAAAACCACAAAGCTGAAAGTGTCCCCTGCCCTGGCCACCCTGCCCCTCCCAGGACCTCATTAACCCAACAACTACCATCCAGAGGCTACAAAACACACGTGTGACCTGGGAGATTTCCGTTGTTATCCACATCATCTACACACGCTCCCCATCTAACRAGCAGCTGCAAACAGCCCAAACGACCGTGAAAGGCAGCGTAATGAACAGGTTTCCAGTCGTTCCTGTCTGAAACATTCACATTCTGGAAGAAAAGCAGCAGGTTAGTTCATTCATTTATGAAACCTGGAAACAAGACTATTTTCATAAATAGGAATCAGCTGTTCGTTGTGTTCAATTATTTAAGTCAAACCCAAGAACTTTTTTCAAAGTTCATGCCATGTGCACAGGCCCCATTCCACAAGAGGTATTTTTCATAGGTTCTTCATTCTATTTAAGTAACACATATATAAAGGGTACATTTTGAGACATACTTCTATCACTGTATCTATTATTATTCTTTAAATATACACCTAGGTTTGACTGGGATTTTTTAAAAAATTTTTGTCTATTCTACTACAGAAGAGTAGTACAAGTGTAAAAAATTCACAATATCCACAGTGCCAACCTTCATTTAGTGACATCCCTGTGCAATGTTGTTCTCTCACCCTACTGATTCTCCCTAGACTTTTGGAACATTTTCATATCATATTTGGCAATTCAAAAAAATGAAAATTTATGGTAAAAGTAAATTCTGTCATTCCCCTCCCCACCTCCCTTTGCACTAGGGAACTGTAGAGTCCCTCACCGCTCCACTTCGCAGGATAGTCTGTAACGTGTAGGACTGCCCATGGGCTGCAGCTAAGTGTGACGGGGTGCACCCACGATCATCCTGAGCCTCTACGTTGGCTCCATTTAACAACAGAGCCTAAAAGAAACGAAAAGCAGAAGTTCAGTTCACAAGTTAGCTTTATTGGCAAGTGAACACGGATACTTACTTGCATGCAGGCATCCTGGCCCCTGATAGCTGCAAGATGAGCTGCTGTCCAACCTCTGACAGACACTTGAGTGATATCAGCTCCGTGCCAGAGCAACCAGTGAAGACACTGCTCGACAACAACAAAAAAAGACTTTTAAATGATTCATATGTGACTTTAGGGCACAATTCTAACCACAAATTATTAGCAAATGTTACATTTCAAGCATATCAGAACACCTTACTATTAAAACAAGACACTCAAGGCATGGACTAGCCAGACATCTGTGCATCAGGAAGTTAAATGTAAATWACACAATTTGAAGGCTTCACTCAGAAGAAAGGCACAAATAACCTAGTAATCTAAACCCTTGCATTGATGTCTTATGATTTTTTCTTTTCCAGGCTTAAAATGYAATCTATGAGGGCATTTGTACAAAGTGAGTTAAAAATATTGATGTGAGTGATGCAAACCTGCTCTCTTGAATTTCAGTTAAAAACACAACCAACCAGATTGAAAACTTCATTTATTAGGCTCCTTGTGTGCATGGAATCTTCCTTTCTTCTCATCTTTCTGCAGCCTAGCCTTGCTCTATTCATCTTTTGCCACCTTCTGCTTTTCACAGAATCACAGCATGGTTAAGGTTGGAAGGCAYCTCTAGAGATCATGTAGTCCAACCTTCCTGCTCAAGCAGGCACACCTACAGCATGTGGCACAGGGCAGCATCTAGGCGGGTTTTGAAGACCTCCAGAGAAGGAGACTCCACAACCTCCCTGGGCAGCCTGTTCCAGGGCTCTGWCACCCTCACAGTAAAGAAKTTCCTCACACAGAGAAGAGGTTGGCCCCCTTCCTCCCTACATTCACCCTTCAGGTACTTATACATATTGATCAGATCTCCTCTCAGTCTTCTCTTCTCCAGGCTAAACAGGCCCAGCTCACTCAGTATTTCTTCAGACAAGAGATGCTTCAGTCCCTTAAACATCTTTGTAGCTCTCCGCTGGACCCTCTTGAGAAGCTTCACGTCCGTCTTGTACTGGGGAGCCCAGAACTGCCCCCAATACTCCAGGTGCRGCCTCCCCAGAGCTGARTAGAGGGGCAGRATCACCTCCCTTGACCTGCTGGCAACACTCCTCCTGATGCAGGCCAGGATCCCATTGGCCTTCTTGGCCACGAGGGCACACTGCTCACTCATGGGTAACTTGGTGTCAACCAGGACTCCCAGGTCCCTCTCCATGGAACCGCTTTCCAGCAGGTCAACCCCTAATCTGTACTTTTCAGGAACTAACCAAAACTAAACCATTTATGGTTTACTAAACTAACTATTTAGTAAACTATTACTAAACTAACCATTACTATTATTATTTATTACTAAATTAAACATTTATGAACTAACCAAAAAAAGTAGAGGACGAGCTATATTTTRTTAGATATTATTAAGTTATTATTATGTTGCTGGTGGTTTATGGCAGTCTCTAGGTCTGATTTTTCTTCTTTCTAACATTAAGAGCTTAATGAGGKACAAACAGATGACAAGCTAACTAAGTCAAATCTAATACAGATTGCAATGTATGAGAATCAAATTAAAATTTGCAGAATTTACAGAGGTAGAAAAGGGCTATCTAGCTTTAGGGTTGACAACYGAAAACTGTACTTCTACGCTTTTCAACATATTTACTAGGAAAAACAGACAGGGGTTATTTATTTATCTTGATCAGGGCTTGCAGTTGTGGGCGTTGTCATTCCCACTAAAAGAAAGGAAACATCAACTCAAAAAACCTTGCTGTGTCCGAGCGCTAACGAATYTTTTACCTCCAGGCTTCCCGAGTGTGCCGCCCAGTGCAAAGGGGTGAATTTGTGGGGTAAATCCACCTTGTTGATAGCAGCTCCRCTCTTTATCATCGAGGCAAGCTGCTCTACATCACCGGCTTTCACAGCCTCGTGTACGCTACCGTAATTTTGCTTCTTCTTGACAGCTAGTGAGGAGTAAGAAAAGCCATTAGCCACGATAGCAACATTTAGGGGGATTTATAGGTGATCAATCTAAGAAACATCAAGGTTCCAGCATCAAAGGCAATAACCAAAAAACATTTAGTGTAACCCATGAGAGTCAGAAGGGGACTGGGATTAGCAGGAAGCCTGGGTCACTTCCACAAACTGTGGCACTGCTCTGGCACCCATCACGTCGCTACTGTCCTCACATTCAGCTCCTGCTGGAGCCCCTCGAACTTCCATCCATTCAGAGGCACCGATTCCCTCGAAATGCCAAAGCAGCGTGGTACAAAAAACAGGCGCCCACGCACCCAAACCCCTTATGTCTTTGCTAAAGATCGTAGGTGGAAATAACTGCTGTGAGTACGTCTAGTGGCTGAGGTGACTGAGCAGTCTTTTTACAGGAAGAAAAAAAAATTTTGGTAAGTTTCTGGCCGAGAGTTGATAAAGAAATTTAGAGTATCATGGAGAAGGAGGGAATTTAAATGTTCAAATATATATATATAAAAAAAAAAAAAAAAAAAAAAAAAAAAGAAAAGCAGCATTTCTGGGCAGTACTTGAAGGAGATAATGTTTGTGTGAGCACCCCCTCCACCCTTCACCCCCCATAAAAATAACTGGGGAAAACCGCCCCACTTTGGGCAAGCTGCTGGGCAGTAAGGCATGAAAATGAACGTTGTGCCCGGCGCAGCTGCGGGCGCCAACGGCCGCCAACGGCCGCCCCGCGCAGCTCGCGCGGGCTGGGCGCGGGCAGAGGGGCAGCTGGCCCGGGCCGCGGCGCTCAGGCCGCCGGTGGAGGGGCTGTGTGCGCCATGGCGGCCGCTGCCCTCAGCGGCGGGGCGGGAGGCACCGCCGCTGAGGCCACTCCGCGGGGCAGGGAGCTGGGGGAAGGCGAGCGCGTCTCACCGGCCGCAGGGGCGGGCGGCGCGGTGGCGCCCAGCATGGCGGCCCTCGCGGCTCCCCGGCTCCACCGCCGCGTTGCCAGGGCTGCGGGGCCGCGGGGAAATGGCGGCGGCAAGGCAAGGCGCGGGCAGAGGCGGGCTGCGCCTCTCGGCCCCTCCGCGTGGCCGGGACCTTCCTCCCGGCTGCTCCTCAGCCCCCTGGCCTGAGCAGCCTCCGCRGTGCCAGGCCGGGCAGCTCCGCAGCCTCGCTGGTTGCTCTCCCCTCAGGGGCCTGACCGTTCCCCATGGATATTCCCAAAGGAAAAAATAAATCCTGGCAGTTAAGTCCCTTTGGGGCTCCTAAAACTCAGCTGGATGTGAAGATTTGTGTTTAGAGAAAATAGGCATGTTTCCAACAACAGCTTTAACCTGTAGATCTGTATGTAGATCCTTACAACATACACCTGTATGTAATTTAATACTGTTAGTGAAAGGGATGCTACCAACAGTGTGTTCAAAGCATAAGGTGAGTCACTGATAGGTTATGCGCACACTTTAAAGCTATTGTATGTAAAAAACACCTTTTGTGATGGTGTTTGCTGCAGGCTCAAGCCTTCATTGATTTGTTACCATTTCTGGTAACATGAGTTGAGTTTGAACATGGCCTAGAAAGCACCAAAACAAAGCAACCAAACCCTGTCACACTTCAAACCTTTTGCTCCARCCCTTAGAGGGCTAAACCAGGCCTAGCTCTAAGCTTGACTCTCAAGYGTGTGCTGCTCATTACATGGATCGAGCAGAATTTGGAGCCTGTCCTTCTCCTCAGGAAGTTCCCATAGATGCTGTTGTCACTGAGTTTGTCTTGTTCCGTGCTGTCCCCACCAAGCAGGTGGAGCATTTGCTCCTTCCTGTCTCAGATCTATTTGTGCAGGAGCTACCCCCTGCAGTGATACATATTTCTGATAAATTAGATATAAACAGTGATCAATATATGGTGGCATGCAAATGCACTCATCCCCAGTGAATCTCTGAATCCCCTCTAGACTTTCTCTAATTGGTATATTTAAGGTTGACATCTAGAACTGGCTACACTGACAACTGCAGGTAAGATTTTGTTAATGATAAAGACTCTAGGAACTGTTAACATCTTCAAAACCCCTYGAAGCCCGTTGTTAAGATGGAAAAGCAGTGTTGCAATGAACACAGCACAATAACAGCTTGGTATTTTTACTTGCATCACAAACACAAAAGGGTTCTCATTTCCCAAATATCCCCATTGCAGAGAGCAACACACCAGCACCGTGGCAGCACTCTGCATTTTTATAGYTTTAAAAGTCTTGCTCCTAGCAGCTTTAAAACCAGGCACTACACAACATATGCCAGAGGGAATAAAACTTGAGATGTATCTTGTCCTAAAACATGTACAGCGTGTCCATTTATTCCCAATCCCACCACCACGCCAGCCACACAAGCCCAGCAGGAAGGAAGAGAACCACACTCAAAATATATGCTTCATTTTATTTATTACATTTAAGAAATATTAACATCTCAGGATATCTGGTTTATCATCTAAGTCCAGTCATAACCAACAAAGAAAAAATGTTAACCATGTTTCAAATGAGCATTCTTACATTCATTTCCCCCTGTAACTTAAAAGTTTGTTTGGCTATATTAAATTCTTATGTGTTTGACTAAAGGAAAAGAAAAATCATTTAAAATGTCTCAACTACCAGGCATCCTGGTTTGTTAATTGAATGTTGTTGGCACTTGTGTTCACAATCAAGCACTCYGCTTTGTTAATTTTCCCCTTCCACCCAGAACTGTCTTTTTGGTTATATTTTTAATATCTGGATATGTAAGTTTTTCAAATAAATTTAATAAGAAATAAGAAATCTAAGGCTGGCTGTCTGAAAAAGTTCCCATATCACTTCTTCCCTTGATAACCCACGTATGAGATAATGGATGTTACTTGCTTTAATTTTTCTGAATCCTGTTGAGCAAGAGGTCTAAAACTGAGGCTGTTTTATTTCCATTTTAACTGAAAAAAGTACAGAAACACTGTCTTCATTTGATGGTGTGCATAAACATTACACTCCATATATAGCAAAAATATCTTTTATTTATAATTTACATTTCCACAAGTGAAAATTGTACATTTTTACATATACAATTTCATTCCATTAAATTTTCACGCATCTACAGAACTTTCACACAATGACACCTGAAACTGTGCAGGCAATAAGAAATTCAAATACAAAAATGTATTTATTAACCAAACAGTAGCTGAGGCCCTGCCTCAGCTAAACATTTTTATTTCATATAAAAAGTATTTGCGTTCCAGAGTCAACACAGCAGCTCTTCTGTTCTGTAAAAAAAATTCATACCTCAGTTTATTTAAACAGACTCAACCTTTTCAGGTTCTGTTTTAATATCTGCAGATGCAGGTGTGCTCTCTTCTGCACAGCTAATAGGAGTGTCCTCAGGTTCTTCTTTGACTTTAGGGGACTCACAGGATTCTTGTGTTTCTTGTTTAACAATGTTCAACATAATATTTAGTGGATTTTCTACAGGAGTCTTGCTGGGAGATGGTGTGCAATCGAATGATGATGTCTGCACAATGAGAGTTGTTGTAGCATTAATACACCACTAAAACAACCATTTGTAACTTCTTAGTGTAATTTTCAAAACATGAACAGCAAGTTGGTAATCAGGCATTCAACATTCAAACTTCAACTTCATCCAGACCTTAAGAAAACCAGTTCACTCTAACTGAATTTCTTAACAATTATTTTCAAAATGTATCATCCAAGTAGGGATGAAACACTTAAATTATCATAAAACATTCCCAGCTATCCCCAGAAGTATTGTAAACTCTCAAATCATTAAAAATTGAACACACACATACACACATCAAGATCCATTTATTCCATTTTGCAAACCCCTAAGACTTGAGAGCTTTACTCAATCATTATTCAGAAAATATTTTCAAACCATGGTTTCTCTTTAGTTTTGTGTGACACACAAACTGACACACTACACCACAGCAAAAAAAATCTAATATATAATCTTAAATAATTCTGTAATACAAACTTGCCATGCCTAAGGCCCTTATTTCTTTGTGTAATCACAAGCAACAGAAATGGGCAGCATTCTCTCAATACATTTGCACCCTGCAAAGGCAGAAATCAAGCAAAACCAACTCAGAGTGCTTAAGAAAACGTAAAGAATCCACTTACATTTTGGTAATCTTCGTAACATGATGGATGGTAAATCTGAAAAAGAATTGTTATACATTTAAGCATATATTTATTTTACAGTACAAGCGCTATTTATGAACAGGACAGTTTTGATTACATGCTTTATATTTCATCCAAAAAAAAAAAGGTCTGAGCAGGTAAMGTCTAACAGTCAAATGTAACCAACTGGACAGGGATTTTGTGTGTCTTCGTGTAGGTGAAGTTACGCAAAAGCCTGGAAAGTGTTCAGAATTACCTGTCTGCCGATGTATTTAGAATTTATACAACCAATATCTACGTCTATATATATAGACACTTATCTTTCTTTTGGCAAAGCAGCATGAGGGAACCCTAGTGCGCCTTTGCTAATGGAATGAAGATTCCAAGCATTTCAAAACAGAGATGCTGGTGTATCTGGAGGCCAGCAAAAACATCGAGAGAATCCACTGGGAATTAAAACCACTTTCCCCTCCCATTTTCTCGCCGCAAGGTTGTTTTTTTTTCTTAAACACATATAATAAAACCAGTTTACCTTTTCATCTACTCTAATAGCATTCTTCAGATGCCACTCCTCCTCCTCCTCATCCCAATACTGTTCAAATTGCTCTTGGCAAATTTCACAGCTCTGAAAAGTTATTAAAGAGAGAGAGATATTGGGGTTATTTTAACAATATACTGAACACAATGACTTTAACAATGCAACTAATGACAATCAAATGAAGCTCTTAAATATCTTGACCTATATCATGACCTTGCCTCCACATTTTAAAAGGAACTTTAGAAAACAGTTACTAATGAAAATGCTGAGTGCAGCTTGCAGACTCAATAACAACCATCAGCAGGATTTGCAGTCACTTGAGACTAGTAAAGCTTTGTCCTTTCAGCTATAARGTCTCTGGAAACACTTATTGACAACCTAATGCTGTTTTTTTCTGCCAGGAGACACAATCCAGCACAGGGACTCAGCTGATTTTACTCATGGCCTTATCTGCACTCTTACCCCAATGAGTTTCAAGTTACATGCTCTAGGTGTTCCTGCTTGARCRGGAAGGTTAGACTAGATGATCTCTAGAGGTCCCTTCCCACCTTAACCATTCTGTGATTCTGTAAAAAGGAGTAACTCTTGTTTAGAATATGAACGTCGTCAAGGCTTTCTCTGACATACGGTCAACTTTGAGAAAAAGGCAGAAGACACGCATACATTTCCTTCCCCCAAGTTAAAACAAATGCCTTCAGGACTTAATAGCTAGTTTTACATAGGTTAAGCATATAAAACTAAGTTGAAATTCTGCCAATACAGTGTTCCATGACTATACAAATTAATCTAATAAAATCTTCTGGTTATTTTTAAGTCAAAAGGTTGAGATACTACRTTGTCCTAATGCCTACCTTCTACTGGAGAGAGAAGAAGAAAATGTAAAAGGAAATTATCAGTAAATTATCACCCATTTCCAATTCCAGCTTTGTTGTGAGGATGGAATGGACGATGGATTGCTTGTTTAGTTTTGTTTTGTTTAAAACTACTTTTGTTTATACCGCACCCACCCCTGGGAAACAAGCATTACATAAACACATCTAAAATTTATGGAGTGGCTGCACAGAGGCCGTTCTCTCCAAGAGCAGAACTTCAGACTAACCCACTGTAGAATTGAATGCTATAAAATTCTTTAAAGTATGAGATCATTCTTACTCCCTGGGCTAATTCAGCAAGCTGGAACATACCTCATCTGCTCCAGCTGGTCCAGCAGGAACACTCTGAAACTCCTTCTCTTTTGCAGCTTCTTGTGTCTTCAGCACCACCTCTTCATGAGCTTTTTCAAAAAACTGGCTTTTTGCACGCTCCTCTAGATCAGCTATTTCTTCAAATTCAATCCAGTCCTAGTGGAAAAATTTCATTCATACTTAGACATGGATAGACAGCCACAAAATAACACTTAAAAAGTAAAGCTCAAAAAAAACCCCAAAAAGTAGCATATGTAACGAATCCCTTCATTAAAAATTCAAATGCTCATATGCAACATTATAGTGTATTTTTTTCCATAGTACTACAATATTCAAAAAAAAATGACCAGAAGCATCACTATCTTTCAATATCCGTTCTCCAGCTTCTGTGTTTTGACTATTTGCAATATCTGAACAGCATTGGGTTTATCAAAGGTGAAGTCCTGTGATGATGCAACTCACGATTCAATTGCAATTCTGCACCACACACACGAAGCAGAGAATCTGGTCTTAAATTTATCTATTACTTACTGTTAAGCTGTAGTACCACCTCCTGTGTGTAACTTTCCTGCTAACATCCTTTTCTGTGCGGTTTTGGCGGTAATGCCAGTCTAAATGATCTGCATAAACATCTGTCTGTGAAGTAGTAAATCTCATTCCACATGAGTAACACTGAATTCCAGTGTACAGTCGGTTTATAACACTATCGTAACGCCTAAAAAAACAAACAAAAAACAGTCTTAGCTTTTCTAAAATAAATAAATAAAGCTTATTAAGTTCCTCAGTAAGTTGCTTCAAATGATCACGATAGTTGGGGAATAAAAATCATTTGGTCAGTTTTGCAGACTACCACCAGGGTAGTCACAATGGAAGTAGCAAAGGAAGCAACACTGACTACAATTTTTATAACCCTGCTGACTAATTCACACCCTATATCTTGGATACAAACAGATCACACAGGTTAGTTTTCCCTTCTTCCTCACTCAAATTCTACAAGGTTAAAAACAGAAGCAAAAATGGCTGGTCCTCCTGTAACAGCCACAAAGCAACACTCAAATCTTCTAAAAGCTCTCAGCTGCTCTGGATTAACTGCAGAGATATCSTGACCGTGTCCTTGCTCTTACTGCACTGTAAGATCATGCTACTGTACGCACTGTCTGAGTTCTTCCACTGTAAAGTTAGTGAGGTCTGGGACATTCTGGTCTTCATTCTGATCATCCTCCTCCTCTTCAGCAGCTGGCTGGGCTGATGTTTCATTCACTTCTAGAAAATAAAGACAATTGCAATTTTATGGAGAATGTACATTCTATGGCAACACAGTATATTATCATAAAGAAATTAAATATCCCTGAAAGTTACTTTTATTGAGACACTAATGCAAGCAATCTATGTTAAAATGTAAGTGCATAGTAGCTAAGTGAGTCTCATCTTTAACCATTATAAAAGGCATACAAAGCACAATTAGTTCTTCACAATCTGAGTTTAGGGAAACAAGTGTTTCAGTATCTTTACTCTTTGGCTTTAATATTCAGCACTTGAAGAAAGAGGTTATTTCAGAATCCGACGACAATCTGACTATAATCAAGAAAAAAGCAGAAAAAGCAAAGAACAGCATCGAAGATGCRGCTCACTGCTTTGTATAGCTCAAAGGTACAAATTAAGTTACAAGATACATTTTAAGAATTAAGATTTTACTACATCACATGCAAAGAAAAGAGCTTAATTTAAAAAAAGCTGTGAGAAATCATTTAGCACAGATATTATTCATAAACTGAGTAGTTGGAATGTAATGGATCTACATACGTGCTGACGTGGAATCTGTTTTTGATGGTTTGAGGATTCCTGTTGAGAGCAGTTTAGCAAACAACTCATTGACATCCAGCTGGCCAAGGTGGTTGTCAGGGTATGAATGTGGAAGGGCTAAGGGAAAAATGAAATAAATCATCAACATCAAGGATGGCAAAAARTTAACTTTGAAAATTTACTTAACTTCCATCAATACGCTTCTCTCTGCCTCCTGCTTCTCACACTGTTTTTCTTCCCTTGTAGCAGCTTCCTTCATAATTGAAGTATTTTTAAGTGCTACCTATGCTGCCTCTTTGTATAAAAATTTCTATTTTTTTAAAGTAAATATAGCACTTACAATTTTATGCTTAAAATATTTATAAGGATTAATCTACTTGATTACCCGCTTTTAATCATGACATTGTACAAGTTTTTAATTACTAACCATTCACATACGGGTGTGTTTTGTATAGCCTGGCAAATACAAGTCACTCCTACAAACTGATGCCTTCCCACCCTCTCAAAAGCGGACCAGATTTTATTTTTTTTTAAGCTCAGCTGTATGTCCAAAACCACATGGCTAATGAAAACTAATGAAAGCCCCCGGTGTTTGAGGAAAATCCCTGGAGAAATGCAGGTACTACAGAAACCACAGAAACTAGCATCTCATTAAGTGCTAAGGTTTCCATTCGTCCATGCAGAACTAGTACACCAGGACTATATGGAATGCTTATTTTTATGGGCTCTAATAAACAAAAGAATCCAAAAGAAATAAAAAACATTATTTTATTACTGAAAATAATTCTTTTCAGTATTTTGGTACATACCTGCTGGGTTCTGAACAAAGCTTCCAGGATTTGGTAAATACTGCTGACCTGGACCATAAGGTCCTGGTTGAGCGGACATGAGAGCCACCTGTRAAAGTAAATATTTATGTACTGTTTGCATGATACCATTTAAAATTTCAGATATGTTAAACTCCTTCCAGGAGTGTACCATATTAGTTCAATACTCAAAGGTCAAATGAGCTCACAACCTTTCTTTAGTCCTAACTTCCCAACAGAAAATAAAAAAAGAGAGAACATTTAACATTTAAATAATAAAAAACACACTTCTTTCTTCTACTTTTCCAGCCTTCAAATTCCAATCATACTTTTTAAACACATTACTCTCTTTCAAACTCTTCTCTTCCACCAAAACAGAGTGCAGAGTGGAGATTCCGGTAACTGWCCATCAGTGAACACTGCTATTCAGACATTCCTCCTTATTTAATAATTGAAACATCCCATTCCAAAAGCATCCTGAAAACTGAATGTTTTCATCAAACTAGATRCAGCAAACTCCAGATGAATAATTTTTAGAATGCATTTCTAATAAAAAGCATTCTTAGATGAAAAAGTTAAAAATATTTAAGTTTTTACTCCTCTAGAGGTCAGTAGGACAACTAGCTTATATTCAGTTCATTCTTTGTATTTGATTTAGTTATTATCCCCCAAACAAAAAACTGCCCTCTAAAATCCCTATCTGTAATCAAAGGAAAGGAACAACTTTCTTTTCATTGACATTCAGCCTCACGTTCCCCTTCTGATCAGGGCACTTCCCTGCCCAGGCAAGAGCAAGACAACTGCAACTCAAAGCATTCTGGTACAAAGAGCACTGTGCTGGGCAAAACTGTACAAAAGTACTGCACAAAGCAGAGTTCAACAAAGTCCAGATCTTGCCCAATTCCCCCAAATTACAGATCTACTGCCATTACTAGCAGCTCCAAAAAGCTAATGACTATTTTGATCCACTGTAATTCTACATCTGACAGATTAACCACCTATATGCACAATTATACCAGCTTCCATGCTTTACAGAGTATGTTTCATGAAAATACCAGACTTCCCATCACAGCTCTGTTCCTGAGTTGAAAATGGAAACTCATTTGCTCAAGCTATCTTCTCAGCTACAAGGTGACTGTAAAAATCCATTTTTTTTCCCCAGTTCTCCCCCTTCCCCAAAATCTAACAAGTAAAACCTCCTTAAATAATCTAACTACTTAAAAAAAAATTTTACTCTGAAACTGTCTTCTAATCTCCCTGCTTCTCAGAATTATCTTGTTTTTGGAGGAACAATAACTACTAATCTCAAAATACAAAAACACTGCAGACTGCTGTATTTAGAACAATCAGCTCTTACCTGGCTGCTTCCCACTGCCAGGCTATTGAAGTTTCCATACTGAGGACCCTGAAGACCTTTTTCATCAAAATAATGTCCAGATGCTCTCAAGGGGAAATTCTGTGCTCCTGGGCCAGCTGGCCCATTGAAATTTGGTCCTGGAGAACCATCAAATAATTCAGGTCTCTGGAATTGCAATCCATGGGATGGTCCATTGTAGCCCTGGCCGGGATGTTCACCRAACGGGCCACCTTGTCCATAGGGTGCCAGTTCCAGTCTTGAGGCAGGATGGTTAGCTACATTTTCAAAACGTGCACCTTGCAGTCCAAGGGGCAAGTCAAACCTTGAGGGTTGCTGGTGAGGACCGTCAAATCTCTGAGGTATGGCTGTGTCAAATCGTGGCTGTCCCTGCTGGCCAGGTGCCCTTTCAAATCTTGGGCCAGGCTGTCCATGAATTCCATCAAATCTTTGCAGGAGAGCGAGCTGGCCAGGTTGACCATCAAAGCCATCAAATCTTGGACCAGTTCGACCCAGAGGACCTTCAAATCTGAGACCAGCCCCTCCCTGGTGTGCTGGTCCATCAATTAACCTGGGACCCACACCGGGTCCTTCCAACCTGAGTCCAGCACCTGACGGTCCATGAGGCCCCTCAAATCTAAGTCCAGCACCTGATGGCCCGTGTGGCCCCACATGCCCCTCAAACCTAAGGCCACCTCCGGGTTGACCATGAGGCCCCAGTGGTTGTAAGTGTGGCCCATCGAAGGGCCTGAGACCGCCCCCTGGTTGACCATGAGGCCCCAAGGGCTGACCATGGGGTCCCTCAAACCTGAGAGCACCCCCTGGTTGACCTCGAGGCCCCAGAGGTTGACCATGAGGTCCCTCAAACCTGAGGCCACCTGAAAGTTGACCACGGGGTCCTTCAAACCTGAGGCCAACTCCCGGTCCTTCAAATCTAGGACCACCTACAGGCTGTCCTGCTGGCCCCTCAAAACGCAATGGGCCACCTATTTGCCCAAGGGGGCCCTCAAATCTCAGGGGACCTCCTCCACCAACCTGACCTGGGGGTCCTTCAAACCTGAGGGCACCAGCCAGCTGCCCTGGTGGCCCTTCAAATCTTAGGGCTCCAGCAGCCCCTGCTGCTGCCAATGGTCCATCAAATTGAGAGGCACCTCCCCCTACCAGAGGCCCCTCAAATCTCAGAGCAGCCTGTCCAGGTGGCCCGTCAATTCTAGAAGTTGAACCAGCAGCAGGACCATCAACAAAAGGACTTCCTGGTCCATCTACGCCAACCCTCGCAGAAGGTGGTCTAGGTGAGCCATCAAAGAGAGGTCTGTCTTCCATCAGTGCACTTATTCTCTGCTTTACTTCAATGCCTCCAAATCTTGATCCTGGAGACTCCGGATCTTCATATCTCGCTCTCTTGAAACGTTCACTGAATGGGGACCTTGGTTCTTCTCGAACACCTAAACACACACACAAAAAAACATAACCACTTACTGAAATGTTGCCAATTAATTAACAACACTAAAATAATGCAAAAATACATACCAGCTTGGCCAAGAAGCTGTCTTTCTTCACGATTATCAAATCTGCAGATTGCATCACCATCTATTTTCTGGAACTCTGGTGTGCTTTTCCCCTGTTGCCTGAGAGCTTCTCTAAACTCCTCTGATTCTCCCCAGCTGTCGTAAGGATCAAAATTTTTAGAACCTCTTGCTCCTTTAGTAGCATTTTGTTCCTCAAGCCTTCGTCGACCCTCAAGTGGTGAAAGACTATCAGGGAAAGCTCTGTTACTGCCACTTACAGGAGAATGTCGTCTGGGTCTTTCTCCAAAAGGTTCTTTTCTGTCAAACTGCACGCCACGCTTTGCTTTAGCTTGTTCACAATCTATTCCAGAAAGCAAAGCATCAGGTAAATGATAATCTAAAATATCATCAGGATCTAACAGATCAAGTCTTGACAAGGAAGGTTGCACTTGTGTTCTTTTCAATTTTGCTTTGTGTTCATAATATGTTAATTCTGCATCAGACAGAAGAGGTTTCTTTTTCAAACCACATTTTTCTTCTGTAGGACTATCCCACACGTTGCATCTGTGCTTTCCTTCCTGATACTGGAACAGCTGTCGGATCTGGTGAGCTACCACGAGGAACTCATCTTGCGTTATTTCACCAGATGTTAAGCGTTCATTTGCCTGTAATAGTAAAACAGAAGTTTAGACTTCTAAACAAGAAAAACACGACTATATCCAGGACACTTCTACACATATAAATTAATTAGTATGACCTTCTTAAGTAATTCTCTCTTGCTCGCACATGTCAACTCTTTGGGAATCTGTAAATTGGCATCCACACTTAACCGGTGCTGCTGCTTCGGTGCTCGGGGTGATAAAATTCCTTTACTAGCTGACCAATTTTCCCGGTGTCTTTGGTGAGGGGATTTACCAGCTGCTTGGTGTTCTTCATTCGGCTGTGAGCTAGAAACAATAAACACACTAATTATGCCTTCATTTTGGACATATTCTTACATTCCAATTAAAACTGACCATGACAGAACATCACAATCTATCAAAATTTAAGTACACAGCATTTCCATATCCACTACTAAAAGTTAATAATCTGAATATCCAGGTTTGACCATCCAAACATTGCCTCCCAAACCTGAGCATACTGAAGTCAGCAGGAAAATTTCCACTGACTTCAGGTAGAAATTGTTCAAAAGATGGTAACTTACTTTTTATTCTCTTCCCAACCAGATTTCCACCTCTTGCCTGATTTGGATCCCTGCCAGTTTTCTGCATTCTCCTTTGGATCAGGAGAGGCTTTTGTAGAATGCTGGCTGGCTGCTTCTTGGGGCCTGTCTTCTTGAGTTTTTTTCACTCTCCTTGGATCTCGCACCTCTTGTTTSACGTTGCGTTTATTAGAATTTCTTTCATCTCTTGCTGTTTGTGCACCTTCTTCAACATGAGACTGCTTAGGGCCAATCTGACGTATCTTTCCAATTTTGGGAGTTGAAGTGGGAGATAAACTCCTAAGTCTTCTTTTGGGTGATCTCCTATCTCTTCTTTTTGGAGAATGTGTAGACGGTGACCGTGACTTAGGAGAACGTGATCGTGAGCGTTTTCTATTGCTCGATCTCCCCTGTTTTCCACCCTGCTTTTCTGACTCCTCTGTAGCTGTATCTTGTTTCTGAACAACACCATTAATTACTTTATTTCTGCTGCCTGCTGGTCTGTGTTCACCTGTCTTATGGTCTTCTTTTTCCTTTTTCTCTGTACTTTTCTTCTTCTCTTTCACCTCGTCCTCTTTGCCCTCTGTCTTTTCTTGAAGATGTTTTTTCAATCTCGGGTCACGTTTACTGATTTCAGATACTTTTGTGCTTTCGCATTCCTGGCTTTTACTATCTTTAGTACTGGGCAGCTTATTTTTCAAAGGTGATGGTGATTTAGATTTTACTTCTGATGGATCAAGCTCTTTCTTGGGTGTTTTTTCACTTGCTTTCAGTTTTTCTTGCTTTGAGCTCTGTTTTTCAGCCTGAGCTGTTTTGCTTGCCTTGCTATCCGATTGACTGGTTGCATTTGTTGGAAATTCCTTCCTATGAGACTGATCTTTACCATGAGAAGAATGTTGAGCCATCCTGTTAAGTCGAGGATCCCTGTTTACTATTTTGACGTCATGCAGTGGAGGGCTCGGGGACGGCTTGTTTTTCTCAGGTTGCACAGGAGTCTGATGAGGAGATTTAACTGCCATATGAGGTGTCGGAGACACATGTTGCTTGGAAGGTGTTGGGACTGAGGCTATAGTAGGTGATCCTTGTTGAACGCTAAGAGAAACAGCCTGAAAGAAAGGGGGAGAGAAGGAGGGAGAGAAAAAAAAGGATTAAACTACCTAGTAACTCCTGTCCAGTGATGTTCATATTCTGTGACTTGTAGCCCAATCTATAAATGTCTCAAGAGACACACTCAGATTGAACTGTTTAGGTTATCTGCTAATTACTGATTTTGATTAATGCAGTACCACTACAAAAGATAAAGTTCGAACAGAAATGAAACTACAAAATATGACTTAAGTATATGTTTGCACTACAACATTAAAGGTATTAATTTACTCCACATGCTCAAGGCAAGTAAGCTAATGCATATGTGATATTTTTCTTATTTCTAGACTTTCAAGGTATTTTAGTTTCATGTTTTTACACCATCAAGATGTCTTTACAACTATCAATGTAAGAAGACTTTCTACTCCAAACATGAAACAACACTGCTTAGTGCCACCTTCAGATTTAACAAATATGACCTAATAAGGAAACTGATTTTATAGTTCCAAGCACCCAGGCTCCTCTTTCTGGAGAAACATTAGCCTCTCTCAGAAAAACCAGAACCAAGTTAACTGGAAAATCCTGGCTTGCTGYGAGCCATGAGAAGAGGTGGAAGATCAGGATCTTCAGCTGACATCACTTTGGAGAGCGTAGGTTAAACAAACAAATAAGCCAAGAGTTTCACTTTTATTCAGTTTTTATTAACATTAATTTTAGGTCCCCAGATCAACTTGCACTGCTCTAATTCTAATATAACCACATTTGTGTAGAATTAAGGGAAAAAAGTAACTTACTGCAGTTAGCAGTATAACTAAAGTACTATTAAAAGTAAAAAGTTAAACAGCTATGAAAGGCCCATAAGCTACCCTACTCACCAACTGTGCTTTAGTCTGCTCCAGCTCCAACTCTAATTTTTTCTGCTGAAGTTCTAGCAACTGTTTTTGTTTTGCAAGCAATTGTTGCCTTATCAATTGCTCTTGTGTCAAGTTCTTCTGTATTTCAGGAACAGCTGGAGGAGTTGAGGCACCAGAAGTGACAGCAGAGGTAGGTGGAGTAGATTCCTCTGGCTAAAAACAAAACAAAGTTACATTTAAGTCTTGATGGAATCAAGTAACTTAATCTCTTTTCACTGCTTCACAATGCAGTAGCGGGATTTAGTGTGCAATGAAGTTACACATTGCATTTTAAATGCAAAATATAACTAAAATATTTAAAAACTTTTGCTCCACTGTTAAAGTTACAGCACATCATTTACTATAAAATTACCAATGCTCAAAAACTTAAAATACAATTTTGAAATTAAAAAAACAATTCCAGCACATATCCTAAGTTCAGAAACTCACCTCACCCATCTATTAAGGTCAGAAACTTCTTTCTTAATATACTTGTCAAAAAGCAATACACAAGCAATGAAAACAACTAGTACCATCTGCTCTTACATTAGGCATGAAAACTTACCGATTTATTTAAAAACTTAGGATTCACATGGATGCTAGAAGTATTCACATTTGGGGGCAGAGGTTTAATTGGCCAAGCAGGATCTAATGAGTTGACTCTGACATCAAGGGCATATAGTTTCTTCAAAGGAAAAATATCATCCCATGTGGAGCGTAATTTAAATAAACTTTTCCTAGTATTTTCATCCACCTAAAACAATAAAACAATTCTATGGCTTGTTAAGTTAATATAAAACAACTTATTACACTTTTCTGTAAAACTTATTCCAGTTATTTTATATTTATATCACTGGTTTGATTTTAATACAATCAAGAATGCAGAATTTATAAACAGTGCAGATATGCTTCATACACCTATACCAAGAGAATAACAGAAGCTTCAGGGTGGAGTTGTTGTTTCAGGCCACTTAAGAGTTTTATTGTATATTACCATTCTCTATCAGAATTTTCTTTGAACTTTTCCATTACCCAAATTCTCATTTTACTTGCCCATTTTCTGTGAAAAAAGAAGTAACAAAAATACTGGAAGGCAACAGCTTTTAGGACAGCAGGGAAGTCAAGTGCCTGTGCTAAATGGGATGTAACAATCACCAGCAAAGCAGAGAAGAATGATACCACAGAACAAAATCAGAGTATGCTGATCGCCTGTTCAGTCACTGAACAACTTTTTTTTTCCCCAGTAAATACAGCAACAAAAAGGGAAACTAGGTAAAATTAAACCAGGTAAATTGCAGTTCAACTGCAAAATTACACCTGCCTGTGAACTATGAATGTTCATATTCACAACAAAGTGCCCTTGTARGTCTTGCATCTATGTCATATTTTCATTAACTATTAATTTGAATTATACTATAAAAGTTGTATTTTGCTTTACAATAAATTTCTAATTCACTTGATAACCCAAGTAGCTAAAAAAAAAAAAAAAAAAGGCACACAAAATATGTAGCTTCCCTACTGTCAATATGCTACATTAGTCATTAGAGGCTGTTAAAAGCCTTTTGCTGTTTTAAAAAAAAAAAAAAAAAAAGGCACACAAAATATGTAGCTTCCCTACTGTCAATATGCTACATTAGTCATTAGAGGCTGTTAAAAGCCTTTTGCTGTTTTTGTTTCTTAAGGTACTACAACAAGACAGGCAACAATTTTGAAAAAAAAATCACCTTTTTTTCTCTAAATACTTGGATAAAATCACCAAAAACACTGCTATCCTGAAGGGTGTTCTAAGGTTTAACAAAAAGATATGAAGCTCACCACAAAAGCTGCTGAAATGACTGGGCAGAAGTATGAGACCAAATGTTTAAAGATACCTTTGTGACATTTACTGATAAAGCAAAATATGTAACAAYGTGAACCGTGGAACTCAACCTGTGCCTTGCACCACCATCAACTAAGCTATCAGAACTGCTACTTTGTATATATATGTTAAATAAGCATAAATAAACCACTCCAATAGCTTAGTAGATAGTTATYCTACAAAATTCAAAGAAATGACCATTCAGGACTTCAGCTGCAAGACAGTTAAATGCAACTCTGAATGAACAGTGACCATATAATACTGAAAAATAATCAAGCAGAATTTCTACTTATCTGCCTATTTTAACACAAGAGTTTAAATTCAGTGTTCATTATTACGATGTATTCCCTAGTTAGTCACCCATTTCACATCTGAAAACCATATAAGGAATACTGAGTTCTCAGATCCTCACCAATAATGTGGAGACAGATAAACATGCAAAAAATCCTCTCATTCATGAGATGCCACCTTCTTACCATGGCATTTAAGGAATCACAGAATTTAAACTTCATTTTTGATCCAACTTAAACCCATTCAAGTCCAGCCTTTCAAAAACTGGACTTCGATCTGCCTTGCTTACAGGCAAGGAGTCACAATTAGTTCGCTGGGTTTAAACATTAAGAACAACAACTAAGAAAARAAAGAATGGAAAAGTCTGGCAGCAGTTGTCAACATTCATTGATATATTAAACAGGTATTTGTAAAACGACACAGCAATACATCCAAAAAGCCTTTTCTCTCTAGGACTTTTTTAATCACAGACCACCAGAACAGTTATCAGGTGTCAGCGATTTTCAGTCTTCACTGTAGAAACACTCATTTTGTCACCTAACAAATAAATTAAACTAACCTAATTAACTACACGACAGACAAGTGCTGAGAAATACTCGAAAAAAATGAGTCTCAGCATAGTCTTGGCATAAAATCTATTAGTTATCTTAAAAATAAAGCAGTAACTCATAACTAATCAGCCCATACGTTAGAAGAAATCCTTCCAGGCAAGCAATTATTGATAAAAAATTATTAAATCTTGCATGGAAAAAGACTCAAGAAGCTTATGAACTTAATGCGACTTTACAGCTTTCAGCTAACACTGAGCTTACATGCTTGACAAGAGCACAAACATCCTTTCATGTTACATGTAACAGTACTAAGAATGAAGAAAGACAATCAACTCTGATAACTCACCACCCAAGAAAACCCAGAACCAAAAACACGTATTTATTTTACCAGGAACAAACTTTGCTTAGAATACAGAACTTTGCTGAAAGTGTATATACCTTTTCAAATACACAAATAAATGTTGCAACTAGGTTTTTAGTAAATGCAGTAAGATATTCTTTTCCCACATTCTTGACAATGGAATCCATAAGGTACATAACTGGGAGCTTCTCTGATGCAGGAGCCTGGAGTAATAAAAAGAAACTGAGAAGTTTAGTACAACAAAAATATACTTTAAGCTTTTTAAATAAAGGGATTACCAAACCCAGAAATACAGACCTCTCTTTTGGTTGCCACTATATACACCAAGGGATTTGCTTGGGATTTTTTTTTTTAAACAAAACTTAAACTGGAAAATCAATATGCTGTTCAAAGTACCAGGCAGTGTGTCTACCACAAAAAAAAAAAAAAAAAAAGTAGTAACATCTTATTCTGTTTCCATATGAAACCTCTGGGGGAAAAAAAAAAGAAAAAAGAAAAAAAAAGAAGCCCACAGGACAGTATTGCTGCTAGTGTACTGAGTGTAAACTTTCAAAACCCATTGAGAAAGTAATTTTAAGTTAGCAGGAAACCATTGTTAGCAATCAAAGGAACTTTGAGAAGTTGTTTGTAATTCAAATCTTGAATAGTTTTTCTGGATTTCACGTAAAATTCAGACTTCTGGCAAAGAGCCCAAACTAGCAAACTTCCGCAGGCTTTGCACTGAGTGTTACAGTCCTTTTTGACAACTGCATGCAGAATAGTCACAGTTATTTCATTGTAATCCGAAGAAATGGAGCAAGGAGTCCCTTTTTCTTGGCACTTGCAGATATTGACAGTCAATTTCATGATGCAAAAWGCTCAGTTCAAGGTTCTACATCCAAACAAAACTCAGTCATAGAGTGGACAGATGAGCTCAAACTGCAACCACAACTTTCAGGGAAGRAGTCTTCATACTCTGGACACACCTTTGTTACAAGAGGAGGTTTGCTTTTTTTTTCTTTTTTAAAAAAAACTTCAGCACCAAGTTTGTGCGATGAGAGTGTGGTGACACTGGACTGCTCAGTGCAACTTCTAGTGCACACGAAGCACCACTGGCCCACAGCAAAGTGATTTTAATGCCCACCACTGGCACATCCAAGTTCCAGAAGGCACCAGCAAGTATACAGACTTGTTGAAGTGGAGAGCAGAAAAGACAACACTACAAGCTGAGTGTTGACCGTGATCCCCTTTAAGTCCCATTCACAATCTGGTAAACTCAGGAGAAAACCAGAATAACTCAACTCACTGCTCATTTTAACAGGACAAGCTAGGAACTTCATTAATAACACCTTACTTCACAACCCCACTGCCCAGCCAGGTGTGTGGAAGTGCTCTTGCTTTACAGTTTTGTATTTAACTCCTTCCTAATTAAGGTGGCTTATACAGTGGCGCTGAGTCAAGAGTATTTTTATATGGGTAAATCACAGTGGTTTCTCAACTTTAAATGTGTTTTCATTTACAATAGCTTAAATTAATTACATTATATTACCATGACCTGAAACTTAATTCTGAAGAGGACTAAAAACTTCTTGTTAATTTGGGGGGGGGGGGGGGGTACTGCCTTTGGGCACATCACAAGTAAGAACAGGCGGCTGATGCATGTTCATACACTAAGAGAGAAAAAACTGCACCTTAAGACAGCTGAAACTAGTTGCAGCACATTAGACACATGCTTTAAAGCAGTTATATTGCCTAATCTCAATGGCAAACACTGMAAATACGCAATGGTGTTAGAATAAACAACTCTGTAGCCTCCAAAMACAAAGACTGTGGGTCTAAAACTACTAAATAATGACTATAAATATCGGCTATTTTTAATACAGTCTGCWCAATGGGACATTAAAGACATTATTGTTAAGTTGCTCTGAATGTCTTCCATTTTTTTAGAAAGTGACACGGCAAGCGCACAGCTACTGACTTTCAAAGTCAGCTTTCAGTGAAACACGCAGCTGTCTCACCAGCACTTATGCTACTGACACAATATTTTATGTTCTTCCATTTCAACGAACAGAAATAGTTCACTGTACTCARCTAAACTTAAGAGATGCTGGGGAAAACATTTAGCAGCAAGGGCGCAGTATGAAGTTCAACCATCACCTTCATTATACATCAGGCTGTTAGAAGTAATCAATCACACATGGAAGCACTGCAATTTGGTTAAGGAAGCCTACTGCAAAATGACGCATAGAATTGTAAGTTTAGCAGAAAATCCCACTTCACATATAAATYACTCAGGTGTTACATTTTAAGACCCAGGACTTAAATACGGCTGGAATATTTAAGTCTTCACTTCTGGAAATGTTTATTATGTCAGAGTATCTAGCACATATTCCATTAACCAYGGAAAGGAATCCCAGATTTCCATGTATTTTAGTTTCAGGTAGTCTCCCTCTCTCTACTACCCCCCTAACAAGACAGACGCCCGCATGACACTAGCCAAGAAGCAGGGAGGCTCAGCGTAATCACCAGAACACAGAACACTATCTCTTGAGCTTAGCAGCATGATATTAAGGACTTCATTACAGAATTCCCACTGTTCTTTCAAATAACGTATGAAAACTACTGTTGGAAATGTGTGGCTCTTTATTAGTTTCCTAAAGGATTTCAACCTTAATCATATTCAGTAACTGATCCCCAAGTCAAACTCGTGAAAAAAAAAATTTCAAAAATAACGTAAATAAATGGGTCTTGGAAACAGATTCTGCACTATACAATGGTAAATAAAAAGACAAATACATATTTCACACTTTTTATTTACAAATTTTATAATACCAGTCACACATTTCATAACCATTTATTAAATTGTAAAGCAGACCACTCAGTTTTACACTAAACAAACTGTCTCCAGGCAACACTTTTTAAAAGTGGCTTAGTAAAGGAGATCACTTTCCCAGGAATAACTAAAAACTTCCCTCATATAACCATAGTCACAAACAGTAACTATGCAAAACTGACCATTGATACAGGATTTAAAACATCTTTAAAAGACACACTTCAGGGCAGGCTCTAAAAATCACCCCCAAAAAATGAATAAATTTGACAGCATTGGTATTTATCACAAGTCATTTAATACACATCCACTGCCCTTTAAGAGATATAATGGTGAGATCTATTGGATTATGAGGTCACCTCCCCAAAGAACAGCCAAACTTGGCCACTGGCAGCATTTAAAACTGAGCTGGAAGAGGTCTGAGGAACACTAAAAAGCCATCCTGTATCGATAGAAAGATGAATTAAATAACTTGAGAGATCTTTCCCTCCCCATCATTAAGTAATACAATTCTCACCATTATAAACCATGATTTAAAGCCAAAGGAAAAAAGCCTTTGAACACCTGGTATCAGAGGGAGCAAGGGAAAACAACGGGGGAGGGGTGACTAGCAGGAATTAGGGGGGAAATGCAAGAGTCGCCCTTTCCACGTAAAAATCTCCTGCTAAAAAGGTGCCATAAACCCCCGTCCCTGCTGGCTGACTGATGTCAGCAACTGCCTGGGTTGGGCTCAGAGGGAGCCTCCTCTTTCCCTTCTTTTTATATCATGTGCCTTTCAGACGCCATGTTAGGATCCTACAGGCTGCTGCAGTTGCTACGCGCAGAGAGAATTTCTTCGTCCCCATCCTCATCCAATAAACTTTTCTAGCCAAAATAAACACACACACACACACGCAATACTAGGCTTTAGTCAGGGCACAGATCGCCTGAAATCCGAACAGGTTTCTCCAAGCCCAGGTAAATTACTCTAATCAGGCAGAGCAAAACAACCCCCATGACCACCACACACACACACTTCTCTAACCGGAGCAAATTATCGCCTTTCGCCCACGGACTTTTCTGAAAGATAAGGGGCCCCCAGTTAATGTCTCGGGGAAGCACCGGGAAAATAGTCCTATGTTCTAAATTATAACTAATACTTAAAACTCAGAGTATTTAGCCTTTAAAAGTGGTCGGTTTTGCATGTTATAAACTCAACCTTATTTTCAACCCTTTATACTATTCAGAAAAAGAAAAAAAATCTATAGAAATCGCTCTTCCCAGTCGGCCTCCCTAATGGTCGCAATACTCGTCCTGCTGTAGGGATTGCTAAATGCTTAGACACGGGGTGAGAGACACTGAAAACTGGCTCCGTGCGGGGGAAAGCCCAGCTCCAAGGGCGAGGTGCTGCTGCCCAGTCACCGCCGGGCCGCCATGTTGTGTCTGCTTATTTACCCGGCCCTCAAAGGCCGGGCCACGCTGCCCTGCCGGCGCCTCTGCTGGGGGCTAGTCCCAAGCGCAGCCCTACTAGGTGCACCCCCGTCCTGTGGGGCAGGGTGGCCTGGGGGCTCGTCCCCTCCCTCGAGTCCCCTGCTCCCTATGGGGGGGTAGAGGGGTGGTGGAGGGAGACGAAGGAGCTTAGTGGGTAAAGGAGGCGCCCCCCGACCCCACTTGGGGCTCCTTTCCCCCCTGCTGCTTCCCCTGAGCCCTCTCCCCCGCCGCCCGGGCGCCCTCCAGCTCGGCCGGGCAGCCGCTCGCCCCTGGCTACGCTGCCTCCCGAGCGCGGCTGCCCCCGGGCTCCTCGCGGCCCTGGCTCCGGCCCTCCCCCGGGCTCTCCGCCTCGCTCCGCTCCCCGCCGCCCGGGCCCTCGCCTCGCTCGCTCTCCCCTGCCCCCTCGCTGCCCTCCTCCCGCTCAGCCCCAGCCCGGCTCCGCCCGCGCCCCTCCGCAGGCCCGAGCCCCCGGGGCCGCCCTGACCCGCTGCCCCGGCCTGTCCCCCCCCGGCAGTATAGGTAGGAGTAGTAGTCGGTGGAATATAAAAACCTTGGCGATTTGCGCCTCGATCAGGGAGACGATGTCCTTGGCGAAGGGCAAGTTCTCCTCGGCCAGGATGGTCAGCATGTTGATGTGCGGCTTGCTGTTGAACGTCAGGTCCTCCAGCGACGACTGGTAATCGCGGCACGCGTCCTCCCGGGCCTCGCTGCTACCAGCGCTGCTCTCCGGGGCCGACATGCTCCTCCGACCGGGGCCCGCACCGGGACCCGACCCCCGACCGAGAGCCCCCGCCCCGCGCTCCCCCGCCGCTGCCGCCGCCGCCGAGCGATGCCGCCCCCCCGCCGCTGCCGCTGGGCTCCTCTACCGCATCCTCCGCGCCGCGGCTCCCGCTACGGGTGGCGGCGCCGCCGCCGCTGCTGCTCCTTCAGCCGCCGCCGGCCCAGTCTCAACGCTCACAAAATGGCGGCGGCGGCTACGGCTCGCGAGCCTCTTCCTCCAACCGTTGCGTCATGTGAAATTGTTCTAAGGAAAGGGGCCGGCGGCTTGGAAAGCCCCTTTTGTTCCCTTACTGCGCGCTGATTGGCCCGCGCCGCCTCGGCTCACGCTGTGATTGGCCCACCCATCGCCACCGCGGCCGCTGACGGGCGGCGGCCGCTCCTTCGTGCCTCCCGATTGGCTCCCGCGCGGAAGGCACCCGCGCTCTGACTTGACATTGGCTGCGCTCTCTTACTGGACGGCTTCTGATTCGCTGTGCCGCTTCACCCCGCCTCCGCGCCCTGCCTGGAGCTGCGATTGGTGTCTCGGTGTGATCCCGCCTTTTCATCCGAGCTTCTGATTGGTTGCACCGCTTCCCCCGCGCAACCCCTCCGGAGGGTCGCCATGGCAACGCCGCGGCCTGCGCGCGCGCCCGGGGCCTTGGCGCCTGTTGTGTGTCCCCGTCCCCCCCCCCGCCCAGGTCCCTTCCGCTCCCCCCGGCCTGACGAGCGGCCCCGTAACCCGCGCCGGGACCCCCGGATCCACGTGCTCCGGGGGGGGGGGCACCTCCTTCCCCCCTTCCACGTGTGTCCTGTGAGCTGCGCAGAGCAGCCTGCTCGTGAAAACAGGCCGGGCGTCGTGAAAACACGAGGGGGGAAGTGTGCATGGTGCTTAAAAGGTGCCAGTAGTGCAAAAAGAGAGCAAAAAGTGGCGCCTAGCGGGGAGATGTTGGTGAGSGCTGCTCTCTGCTGGTTTTTACCCAGATAAAAGTGTGTTTTGGTTTTTAGGTTTATATTTATGTGCCTTTTCTGAAGAATTTTGACTTGGAAAACAGGAGAAAGGAAGAGCAACGTGGTAGTGTTATTTTTTCCATGCCGCTTAGCTGCGTGTCCGTGTCCGCGGGCGGCCTGGCTGCCCGAGATAAGGGGACGAGGCGAAACGCTCCTGCGCGAGCGGAGCCGAGTCACGCGCCCCTCCGGGCGGCCTGCACGTCACCGGGAACCTGGCGGCCGCCATGCAGCCCTCGAGCAGGAGCCGGGCCCTGACCTAGCGGCAGGCGTGTTCGGCACAGACAGCACRAGTTGTTGTGGCTTCCGCGGGGGGAAATATGGGGCTGACGAAATCCTCCCCCTCCAAAACTGCTCTGCTTGTAACCCACAACGCTGCCGTCTGCTAATTACCGGAGCAAAACCAACAGTACCAGCAAAACTGCCTGTGTGAGGATCTCATGCGGGCCAGGGCCACCCGGAAAACCAGATTTGCGGATTCCTAACGGKCAGGTCACGGAGCCGGCTATGAGGCGGGAGGCCGCGCGCGCCCTGCTCTGCCCGGGGCTTCACTGCTCTCCATTTGGAGCCTCTAAGGGCTGGCAGTTGAGACGGTCATCAGCAAAGGCTGCTCCTGCCGATGCATCTTCTTGCTGGCCTCCAACTCGTTAAAAAAGCTGCTAAAGCCAACCTAAATGTAGCAGATATAGCTTGAGACTCACCAGCAATTGGTAATTAAAGAAACTTTGCTGGATGGTTGTGATGTTACAGCACTACGTGGGAAAATGCAGCTGGGGATGAAGCCTTCCTGACAATTGAGGCTGTTCCAAGATGTTTATGATTGTGGTTGAAAAYGTACATAGTTGTCTTTACGCTTGAGCTGAGTTTTTCTGAGTTTAATAAAATTCATTTGAACCAAATCTCTAGGTGCTCGGAATTGTTCTTGCTGCTTTTCATTCAGTTAAAGTTTAAAAAAAAAAAATAAGATTTTTTAAGATTGCCTTCAAAGTAGCTCTGCTTTTATCAGCATCCCACCCTCCAGTAGTTTATCTGTAGAACAATCTCCACTAAAATGTAGCTACAGGAGAAGATCTGGTAACACCCTTTTGGAGAATGAATCCRGTTTAAATCAGTGTAATAACTACATGCTGCTTACATCTTGACAGCATTTTGATGCTTACCTCAAAACAGAAGATGTTTTGCTAGTGATACTACAAGATTTTGCCAGCAAAGCTATGTTGGTTGCTGAATTCTGTTAGAGTCTTGGTGTTGTTAAATCAGAGCACTTTTAAATGCGAATTGGGGCCCCAATTCTCACCTCATTAGATCAGTTCTTGCTTGGGTTACACAGGTCTCATGAGGCTTCCCTTGTTTTGTTCACATTTAATATTATACCTCTGTGACCTATTACCAAAAAACACAATAGAATATAATAATCACAAGCATCCACGAGCTTCTTATAGCTGGATTATCTCCTGTTAAAGCCAAGCTCCAAAGTTACTCTGAATATTCTGAATTTTGAGTGATAATTTGATAGCTTGATAATTAGGAAAAGTTGAAGTGTTGACATACCGAAGAGTAGGTTTAGTGCCCGATTGTCCTTCAGAGCTTTGCAAGATCCTTGCCCTAACATCTTCCCTGTGATGAGTTCCTCTTCCCAAAAAGGCAGGTCGACAGCAAACAGCAAGGAGCCAAGATCAAAGGCTAGGGACGGATAGGGAAAGAGCTGTCAAATCCACATATTCCAGTCTTCACCAGTCTATGTTAAGCAAAATATCATAAAATCCACATCTCTGCACAATTTGGGCAGTATCATCAAAGCCAGAATTGTCTACTGTTGAGCACAGCCCTCATGCTGAGGACCTACACGTGTCCCCAAAGGCTCAGGTGACCCCTAAAAAGCCAGTGTTGTCACAGTGAGACTGTTACTGGTACCCSAGTTCACCGAGCTGACAGGCCAGCGACGCAGCTTCCAAACAGCGTTTCCTTGGTTCTTGGGAGAACGAGGGAGCCAAACCAGGCTCGATTTTCCTTTGGGACGTTGTGTCCTCTCCAGCTACCGCTCAGCATCACCTGTGSCTGGCAGGGGGACATTTTTACGGGCAGGGCTCTGTGTCTCCGCAGACCCGCTCGCCCCAGCCAGGCTCTTGTGACAAGCTYGTGCTGCAGTGTAAATAATTCACAGTTCTGCTGGGCCGCCCTGCTTGCCTTCCCTACGAGCAGGCTGGCAGCTCCACGGACAGCAGCTGTGGGTAGCTGCAACCCATACCTGGGAGGGGCATTTTATTAAAACACACTGCATTTTCAAAGCGTTTCGTTTCAGAGTGTTATTTTTTTAAAAGGGGGTGACGTGAGCAAGCTTCTCATTGAATGGTTCTTCTGAAGGTTCTTCAGAAGAAGACAGGATGGGCTCTTTGCTGAACTAAACCTGCTCGTATCACATCACACTCTCCCAGTTGCAGCAAAGCCACAAAGGGGATGGCTGTTTTTTTCCAACTGATAAAACACCGGGGAATCTCCACAGGAGATGTCCTGGTGTCTCGGGGCTTGCTGGCTGTCAGCACGCAGGCGCCCTTGGCTCGGATGCTGCTGCAGCCATCACGGGCAGCAGCTGAAACAGCTCTGGAAAAGGGTGTTCGGGTTCGCGTTGCGCTGGAGCCAGGCGTGACACCGCATGATAGAGCTTGAATTAAGCTGTGTGACTATAAAAAAACATCTTCCAAAGACAAATCCAAGAGCRCAAGTTGTAAATCTTTCCTCACTGCGACCTTCTCCAGCGCGTGCAAACCCTCAGTCCATCCCTCAGTGCGTCTCTTGCCAGCCAAGCTGCTGCTGGTGTGGGAGCTCAGCTTTCGCTCCCRCAACAGCAGCAGCGTCACCCCCGTCTACAGCAGGTTTTAGTGAGYGTGGGGTAGATGTCTGTGAGAGAGAAAGGTGCAGCAGTGTTTGGGTAACCTGAGCTCTCGGTCACCTCCAGCAAGTCAGTCACCGAGAAGCTCCTCGTGAGTCACCAGCTCCTTGTGAGACACCAGGTAACGTGAAGCTCCTCCTTGTACATCGTGAGACACTGAATAGCTTCTGTTGGTGTCGAACGTGAGCCAGGCGGGCCCGGCTCATGCTGACCACACAGATGGGCCTGCCCGTTAYATCTCCATTACATGTGGCAAGGAGCAGGCTGGATCTTACATTTATCAAAACAAAGATTCTTTAGTTCTTTAATATCTTTTGTCCTCTTCAGTGCCCAGTTGCATGTGAGAGGTGGTGGGAGCCAGGCTGGTTTGTTGGGAGCTGCCACACGACTGGTYGGGGCTTCTTCCCTCCCCCTGAGCTGCCCGTGGGGCATTCCGGACTGGCTGCAGTTTTAACCAGCTTCCTGAAAGCCCACAGCCCATGTGGGGAGAGCATTTCTGACTTTCTTAGGTCCCTCTGTGGAGAAGCTTGGGGCTTGCCGACTCTGTGAAGTAAATCACACACAGCTTGAGGTGCTCGAGACCTCTGTTTATGGTCTCTGCTGCAGACAGGGGCAGCGTGTGGCTCCTGGCAGGACGAGAACTGATCCCCTTCAGCTCCTGCTGGCCGGGCATCTGCCTGGAAATAAGAGCAGGGGTGTGAAAATGAGGATTTTGAGTGGAATTACACTAACAAGGAATGTCTGAGGCTCTGTGATCACAGGTGGAATTTCATAACTAAACCATAGCATGGGAGAAAAACAGGACTAGAAGGAACCAGGTGGCATCATCAGACCCATCTCTGTGTCCCAGAGAGCTGCATAACACAAACTTGCACAGTGCTGTTAACCTACTACAGAGGGAAATTTGATGGCAATTTCTACCAGTAAATCCATGTTAGCTGCTAGCTCCCTTCTTATTTTCCAAATGCTTAAAAATGAGTTTCTATTCTCCGTTCTGAAGGAAGTGAGGATGACTAGCGTTTGATTTCTGCGTTCCAAAGACCAAGCCCACTTGATCCCTCATCCCATTGATGCCATTGAAGCTACATGATTCCTTATATTAACCCACTAGCAGTGCCGG